AAATTTTCTGGTTTCGCAGCTCAGAGTAGTGCTAACATGTTATAAAATAAAATATCACAGGATTTAGGTATAATAATATAATCATAATTTATTATTTATACCCCGCCCATCTGGCTGGGTTTCCCCAGCCACTCTGGGCAGCTCCCAACAAAATATTTAAAATTCATTAAAACATCAGTCATTAAAAACTTCCCTGCAAACTTTTCTTGCAAGTTTGTCTGCCTCCCAAGTCCATTCCGGGAAGCCCTGTAATGTCATTCATGATTAGCTTTTTGAACAGCACTAAGAGGTTTACAGGAGCTAATTTTTAATCTGTCTCATTTAAACTTCATATACATACTGCCTTAGTTGCGTTCTAAGATCTGATGATGTCACTCTTTGTAATTGGCTAGGACAAAATATAGTCCAGATTTATGAATGCTTTGATGGCAGTGGAATTATGCAATTATTTTGATCCAAATGGTCTCCAAAGGGAAAATATCTACCGGCTAATTTATGTGTTATTAGCCTAATTGGAGGAATTTTCCCTCTTCGTTAATCTCAAATTGAAGAGAATTTGCAAATCAGAAAAGCACACAAATGGATTAGTATTTCCTGTGTGATACTGCAAGGAATGCTGCAATTACTTCTTGGGTAAAGATGGGGAGAAGCTTTTTATGGGTCAAAAGGAAGGAGACATAACATGGTGACAAAGAACTAACCTGGCTTTGGTTAAAACAAGGCAAATTCTCACAAGGTGGGAGGATGGGAATTCATTATATGTGGCTTTCCAGATAATGTAGGGCTCCAGTTCCCACCAGTTTTACCCATTGTCTTGTTATGCTATCGGAATTGTACCGTACACAATAGTTTGTTGTGTTTTTCTACATGCTGCATCCTTTCCAAAGGAACATCATCCCTGGGAAAATCAAATCCTCCTCTTCCCAACTCCCACACCTCTACCAACTTTTAGCTCTCTTTGCTCTGCTACAGGAACTTTTTTTTTTTTGTAAAAAGAAGATAGAAGAGTACTTGGAGCTGAATAGATCTAATCCTTCAAAGACAGAGGTCCTCTGGCTGGGTCGGGATGGCATGGGGATGAGGGACCAACTCCCTTCTCTTGTGGGGGCCCAATTAGTGTGATTGCCTTCTGTTAAGAGTTTGGGTGTAATCCTTGACGCCTCCCTTTCCATGGAGGCGCAGGTTACAGCAACAGCCAAGGCGACATTTTTCCACCTTCGCCGCATCAAGCAGTTGGTCCCTTACCTTTCCTGCCCTGACCTGGCCACAGTGATCCATGCGACGGTCACCTCCAGGCTTGACTACTGTAATTCGCTCTACGCGGGGCTGCCCTTGAAGCTGTCCCAGAAACTCCAGCGGGTGCAGAATGCCGCAGCAAGGCTCCTCACGGGGTCTCTGCCATGGGGGCATATTCACCCTGTGCTTTTCCAGCTGCATTGGATCCCAGTGGAGTACAGGGTCAGATTTAAGGTGCTGGTTTTGACCTTTAAAGCCCTTCACGGCCTAGGACCCTCATACCTATGGGACCGCCTCTCCCGTTATGCCCCATGGAGAGCCTCAAGGTCCATAAACAGCAACACCCTAGAGGTCCTGGGTCCTAAGGAAGTCAGATTAGCCTCAACCAGAGCCAGGGCCTTCTCAACACTGGCTCCAGCCTGGTGGAACACTTTGTCTCATGAGACCAAGGCCCTGCAGGATCTGATATCTTTCCGCAGGGCCTGTAAGAGAGAGTTGTTCCGCCTGGCCTTTGGCTTGGAATCAATTTTATTCCCTCCCACTCTTCCCCCCCCTTTCTCCTCCTGTGATGAGGCTGCATTTTAACGTTTTAATGTTGTATTTTAATCTTGTTTTTTAAGTTGTATTTCAATCAACTTGTTTTTATTATTGGTTGTTACCCACCCTGAGCCCGGTCTTGGCACGAGTCCCGGGGGCGTGGTGTGCCGCCCGCAGCGTGTCCTGGGGGCATGGCACACCATCTGCAGGGGTGTGGCGGGGGGCAGCTGCGATGGCACCCCTCCAGGATCACGCTGCCGGGGGCGGTGCGCTCCCCCCGCACCCCTCTTCCTCCGCCAGTGGCTGAGATCACACCACACTACCCGAGAAGTGGGTACCGTATTTTTCGCTCCATAAGACGCCCTTTTTCCCTCCTGAAAACTAAGGGGAAATGTGTGTGCGTCTTATGGAGCGAATGTGTGCGGCTCTTGGGGGCTTTTCCCGTCAGTCCCTTCTCCCTCCTCGGGGAAAAGCCCCCAAGAGCTGCAAACACGCTCCACGCTGCTCTTTTAAAGGAGCGCTGAGCAGATCCTGTATGCATCCTAGGCTGTGCTCAGCAGTCCCTTTCACGAGCCGTGTGGAGCTATGTGTGGCGCTTGCAGGCTTCTCCCTCCTCAGGGAAAAGCCCCCAAGACACACGCTCAGCGCACTCTTTAAAGGGAGCGTGGCTCTTGCGGGGTTTTCCGAGAAGTGGGGGAAGGGACAGAGGGCAGCTCCTCAGCCCCTTCCCCCACCTCCCGGAAAAGCCCCCAAGTCAGTGATGAGCTGCCCTTCTCCCTCCTTGGGGAAAAACCTGAAAGCCCCGCACACACGCTCCTCGCGGCTTTTTAAAGGGAGCGCTAAGCAGAGCCTGGGATGCCTATAGACTCTGTTCAGCACTCCCTTTAAAGAATCCCCCCCCCCTTGCATTCCCCCTCTAAAAACTAGGTGTTGGAGTGAAAAATATGGTAAGTTAACTGCCTCCTCACAGAGGACTCCCCACTAAACTGCATTGAACTTGTTTTACAGTTGCCAGTTCAATAATGGAACACTAGCATTTTTATTCATGATAAATCTTTGGTGTTCCATGTGCATTTGCATGCAGCAAGTGTCTCCTCAATGTTTCAATCTGTGACAGGGTGACACTGGATAAAGGCTAAACTGATCACTGTGATGGCAAATGCGTTGGTGGTTTCTCAAGGCAATCTCAGCATCAGCAGACCAGTCTTTCAAAGCACAACTCTTTTTATTTTAATCTGGTTCTCCCTCCCCTTCCCCGCTTCATTTCCAGTCCTCGAGCAAATTAAAACACGAAGCAGAGAGAGAAAAAAACCCTCAATAAAAAGGCTAATTAGGACAACTGATATGCAAGATCCAGCTCTAACCAGCTGCTAGATTTATTTGAGCCATTTAATGAAGATATCTATCTTTGATTTTTTCCCTTTTTTAGCAGATTATAATGTTCATTAATATTTTCACTACTGGACAAAAGTAGTCCCGTTATTATTGTGAACCTTTATTTACATTGAGATATATCAGTATATCATGTTTAGCTGATGATATATCACAATGTTGAAAACCAGATATCGCCCAGCCCTACTTGAGGCATTGCTTTTTTGGCAAATGCTTGTCTATGGCATTAAAATACACATATATTTAGGTTGCTGAGGCACCATGAAGTGCTTCAAGTGTCCCCAATTTGATGTGCCACCTCATATGGATCCTGTTTTACCTCTGGCAAGCCAAAAATCTCTTCGGAACACCCCCTACCTCTTCGCCACAGGATTTGGAATTAATCTGAATCAGATCCACATCTCTATGAAAGTCCACAGTGCTGGCGCTGTGGGTTAAACCACAGAGCCTAGGACTTGCCGATCAGAAGGTTGGCGGTTCGAATCCCTGCAACGGGGTGAGCTCCTGTTGCTCGGTCCCTGCTCCTGCCACCCTAGCAGTTTGAAAACACGTCCAAGTGCAAGTAGATAAATAGGTACCGCTCCGGCGGGAAGGTAAACGGCGTTTCCGTGTGCTGCTCTGGTTTGCCAGGAGCGGCTTAGTCATGCTGGCCACATGACCCGGAAGCTGTACACCGGCTCCCTCAGCCAATAAAGCGAGATGAGCAACCCCAGAGTTGGACATGACTGGACCTAATGGTGAGGGGTCCCTTTACCTTTATCTACACTGACCTAGGTAAAAACCCAGACTCTCAAGACCAGAAGCGAGATGAGCACCCATAGTCGTCTTTGACTGGACTCAACCGTCCAGGGGTCCTTTACCTTTTACCTTTACCTTACACTGATCTTGTACAGATGTGCAAGTTTTCAGCGTCATTTACCAGGTGATTTAACAAAGGGGTGGGGATTTGACATTGTCTCGTTCTTGAGCTCCCATTCAGATGCTAGCATAGGCTTGCGTTTATGTTCCCAGGCAAATTGGTTCCTTTTGAAATCCACCTGAAGTTCAAAAATGGTCTTTTAAACAGAAATGCTAAGGCTACGTACATTAGCTCAGGAGGGAATGTAGGCATTTAAAGGCCAAATATAGTCTCAGCTTTTCATTTTTCTTCCTAATTAGATAGGTCTAGTTTCCAACCCCATCCATTTGCCTCACAGCAAGCAATTAGTTCTCAGAACAATGGCAGGAAGAAGTAAGACTCCGTTTCCTCCTGTGCTGAGAATGTACTATTAAAGAGAACTGTTACATGCCCTGTTGCTTTTAGATTACTTCATTGCAATTTCCATTACGCATAAAACTACCTTATTTGACAAATTGAATGGAAATTGAAATGACTCTGTGGCTAGATTCACATCTTATCAGATTAAGAATTTCTGTCACATATTTCCTGCTTTTTCACATCATTGCCAACATTTTACCCCCTCAAGACACAGTTTTTATCAGTAGATTCCTGCTACAGGTGGGGACACGGGTGGTGCTGTGGGTTAAACCACAGAGCCTAGGACTTGCCAATCAGAAGGTCGGCAGTTCGAAACCCCGCAATGGGGTGAGCTCTCGTTGCTCGGTCCCTGCTCCTGCCAACCAACAGTTCGAAAGCACGTCAAAGTGCAAGTAGATAAATAGGTACCACTCTGGTGGGAAGGTAAACGACGTTTCCGTGTGCTGCTCTGGTTCGCCAGAAGCGGCTTAGTCAGGGACTGAGCAACGAGAGCTCACCCCATTGTGGGGATTCGAACTGCCAACCTTCTGATCAGCAAGTCTTTGGTTTAACCCACAGCACCACCCGCATCCTTAGAGACCAACCAAATTTGTTATTGGTATGAGCTTTCATGTGCATGCACACGAAATCTCATACCAATAACAAACTTAGTTGGTCTCTAAGGTGCTACTGGAAGTAATTTTTTTATGGAGTCTGTCTCATGAGAGAGGGGCAGTGGTTTGTGGGGACTTGTACCAGCCAGGAGGCAAGAATCTGAGGCAGGGGAGACTTCAGGGCTGGAGGGTGGAGCACAGGATGGGTCGGAAGAAGAAGAGGAAAAAACAGGCGAGGCAATTGAAGGACCGGGTGCTTCTCCACACTCTCCTGCACCACTATTTCCCAGAACCAAGAAGGGACTGAAGAGGGAAGAGCAGAGGAAATTGTCACGCAGACATAGTCTCCAGCTGCATGCACACAGCCCATCAGGAAAAGGTACCGTATTTTTCGCACTATAGGACGCACTTTTTCCCCTCCAAAAATGAAGGGGAAATGTGTGTGCGTCCTATGGTGCGAATGCAGGCTTTCACTGAAGCCTGGAGAGCGAGAGGGGTCGGTGCGCACCGGCCCCTCTCGCTCTCCGGCTTCAGGAGAGCCCCAGCGCCAGCCCCACAAGGTCGGGGGACAGAGGGAGGCGGAACGCCGCCATCCCGCTGTCTCCCGAAGTGGTTTGGAGGCTGACGGCGGGGAGAAGAGCGCTTCTCCCCGCTGCCTGCCCCCAAGCTCCGGGGACAGCAGGGAGACGCAGCGCGTCTTCCCGCTGTCCCCGGACCTGATGTGAGGCGGGCGGCGGGGAGAGGCGCTTCTCCCCGCTGCCTGCCCCCAAGCTCCGGGGACAGCAGGGAGGCGCAGCGCGTCTTCCCGCTGTCCCCGGACCTGATGTGAAGGCGGGCGGCGGGGAGAAGGCGCTTCTCCCGCTGCCTGCCCCCAAGCTCCGGGGACAGCAGGGAGGCGCAGCGCGTCTTCCCGCTGTCCCCGGACCTGATGTGAGGCGGGCGGCGGGGAGAAGGCGCTTCTCCCCGCTGCCTGCCCCAAGCTCCGGGGACAGCAGGGAGGCGCAGCGCGTCTTCCCGCTGTCCCCGGACCTGATGTGAAGGCGGGCGGCGGGGAGAGGCGCTTCTCCCGCTGCCTGCCCCCAAGCTCCGGGGACAGCAGGGAGGCGCAGCGCGTCTTCCCGCTGTCCCCGGACTTGATATCAAGGCGGGCGGCGGGGAGAGCAGCGCTTCTCCCCGCTGCCTGCCCCCAGCTCCGGGGACAGCAGGGAGGCGCAGCGCGTCTTCCCGCTGTCCCCGGACCTGATGTGAAGGCGGGCGGCGGGGAGAAGGCGCTTCGCCCCGCGGCCTGCCCCCAAGCTCCGGGGACTGCAGTGAGCCGGAGCGCGTCTTCCAGCTGTCCCCGGACCTGATGTGAAGGCGGGCGGCGGGGAGAAGAGCGCTTCTCCCCGCTGCCTGCCCCAAGCTCCGGGGACAGCAGGGAGGCGCAGCGCGTCTTCCCGCTGTCCCCGGACCTGATGTGAAGGCGGGCGGCGGGGAGGAGCGCTTCTCCCCGCTGCCTGCCCCCAGCTCCGGGGACAGCAGGGAGACGCAGCGCGTCTTCCCGCTGTCCCCGGACCTGATGTGAAGGCGGGCGGCGGGGAGAGAGCGCTTCTCCCGCTGCCTGCCCCCAGCTCCGGGGACAGCAGGAGACGCAGCGCGTCTTCCCGCTGTCCCCGGACCTGATGTGAAGGCGGGCGGCGGGGAGAGGCGCTTCTCCCCGCTGCCTGCCCCAAGCTCCGGGGACAGCAGGGAGGCGCAGCGCGTCTTCCCGCTGTCCCCGGACCTGATGTGAAGGCGGGCGGCGGGAGAGAGCGCTTCTCCCGCTGCCTGCCCCCAAGCTCCGGGGACAGCAGGGAGGCGCAGCGCGTCTTCCCGCTGTCCCCGGACTTGATATCAAGGCGGGCGGCGGGGAGAGCAGCGCTTCTCCCGCTGCCGGCCCCACAAGCGCCTGGGGGGAAAATAATTTTTTTTCCATTATTTCCCCCCCAAAAAACTTGATGCGTCCTATGGACCGGTGCGTCCAATGGTGCGAAAAATACGGTACATAAACTGGTAGAGAGTGGTCCATAGAGCATGGACCTGGAATTAGCTGCCTAGCCTTTAGACTGGTGTGCTGGAGAGCTGTAGAAGCAACTGTGTTATCTTTAAATTAATTTAATTTTTATTGGAATTTTATATACAGCATAACACAACCCCCCCACCCCCAATACACAAATCCACCCTCATTAAACGTGAACATAACATACAACAATACAAACAATCAAATAAAAGACTTCCTTTATCCTGTATCTGGCTTCCTTATTTACTTCTTATATTATTCCTTTATGAATCATTATTAAGATTTTTCTAATTATAACTTAAATATTCACAAAGTCTCCTGCAGACATTAAGTCCAAGTATGTATTTTAGGGCACTGTTTTGTGAAGTATTCTCTGCATTTTCCCCATGCTTTTTGAAACTCTTGTACTAGACAAGAGACAAGAGCAACTGTGTTATCTTTGACAATAAATACTGTACTTAACTATCTGCTGTGCACATTCCTTTGGCTGGGAAGTGCCCCTGACACCTGGCATTTCAACGAAGCTGTAAAGAGAAGGGATGGTTCAATATCAAATGGCCTCAACTTGCATCTTTTATTTTCTCCAACAGCAACCTTGAGAAAGCAAAGCCTTGGGTGGTTGGCTGGCTGAGAACACACATAGACAAAAATCATTTGAGATACCAAGCTATTGTGGATCTGCACTCGCCCTGTTTTGGTCAATTTCCACTGTAGGATCAAGGTCAAGAGAAATTTGGTTCAGATAGTTCCCAGCAGAAGCCAGCTGTGCACAGCAATGGTTGGCTGGCCTTTGTGACATCATGAAGTCACCTCCTGTCAGCCCAGGCACAAGAATGAAATCTTTCTTCATATGAGAATGGGGAGGATATTTGAATAAAGCAGAGCTTTCCAAACTTTTCATGTTGGTGACACACTTTTAGACACGCATCATTTCACGACACAGTAATTCAGTTTTACAGTGGTACCTTGGGTTACGAACTTAATTCGTTCCAGAGGTCTGTTCTTAACCCAAAACTGTTCTTAACCTGAGGTGCGCTTTCGCTAATGGGGCCTCCCGCTGCTGCCGCACCACCAGCGCACGATTTCCATTCTCATCCTGGGGCAAAGTTCTTAACCCGAGGAACTACTTCCGGGTTAGTGGAGTTTGTAACCCGAAGCGTTTGTAACCCGAGGTACCACTGTACTAGCAAATCAAATGTTAAACCAACCCTTTATAAGAGCTTTCGCATGATACACCTAAACACTGCGGCCAACACAGTAACATGTCACAACACCCAGTATGGAAAGTATCAATTGCTCTAATTAGTTTGGCCCTCAGTTTGAACTCTTAGTTTCACACTGGGTGGCTACAGATAGCAGTTCACCAAATAGTTGTCTGCCAACTAACAGTCACTCACTATGGTTTGTGGCAAAGGCAAAGGGCCCCTGGATGGTTAAGGCCAGTCAAAGGCGACTATGGGGTGTGACGCTCATCTCACACTGAGGGAGCTGGTGTTTGTCCACAGACAGCTTTCCGGGTTTGTGCATGATATACCAGCCGTGTTTTAACATGTTAGAATTCTACCACACCCCCACAGTCACTCACAAATCAGGAGAGCAATAAAATACCTTCACCACTTAACACAACCAATCTGCCAAGTGATTACAAGACAACCATGTTAAATTACCGCACAGGAAATATATACTGTAATCTGTAATCTACCCCCAGTGGCCAACAGTTCTAAACCATAGTGTCGTGTTATAAATATAATGCTTGTTTCTACTCGGAAGAACTATCAGAATTTTGACTTTGAGTCATTTGGAGTCGAAGATTTCATTCAAGTATCTTCTGTTGAAGGAAGCAGTGATTTTATTTAATACAAAGTTCCCCAATCCAGAGCAAGTTAGCTACATTTAAATCCTAATGAAATCAAGTGGGTCACTGTGGAGGAAACATCTAAGATCTGCAGCTCAACTGGGTGTTCCTATTGAGTTGGCAATGCAGACAGGTCAGAAAATAATTACTGTATTATATTACTGTAGCTGCTGCTGCATTCAACCACTGCTGTTGAGCTCATAGGTGCAAATATATTGAACTCAAACCTGATGCTTATTTAAGTGGGCGATATTTAAGCTGCCATTCTACACACATACACTGAGGAATAGCACTAACACCTGGGTCTAGCTTTGGAGCATATTGTACAATTCTCTAGCGTGGGGCTGAAATGACCCAGAAAGAGTACGAGAGTTAGAATTTTATTCCTTATCCAGCAAAATCTTTTAAGCAACTGTCATTTATCTTGTTTATGAGCTGGACTTTTGTATGTGAAATCTCTCCCCCCCGAAGATCAAGTTTGTTACATTATACCCCCCACCCCCAATCTTCCTTTAAAAAGTATTCCGTGGCATATTTGATACAGAATTCATCCTTCCCTCATCTGTCACCAGGTATCATAATTGCAACAACAAAATGTGGAAACTCAATTATAGCCATGAGAAGAAACAGAGTATCATCTTCTAAAATGAATCTGTGGATGTAACTGGACCATTTACTTACTACAGCATAGGGTCAAGTGAATAGGAAACTATTTGTACTGGGACACAAAGGTGCATTATTTATAGTTACAAAGAGGACTTTGAACTAAAGTCTTTCAATTGCCCCCACCTTCAATCTAAATCTGAAGAGTTATACTGCAATTGCAATTTGCTTGCGGGTGAGGGACGGGAATTGAACTTTGCCCAAACCACAAAGGGAAGACCGTAGGATGTTCATTGTACCAGCATTTTCTCAACACAATCGCTAAGGCTTGTGCAATCTGTGTTCACCGCTGGCATGCAGACTTGTGGGGCTGCTGGCAAGGCTACTGCATGTGAACAAGGAGCTCAAACTGATTTGTAGTAATCAAAGGCAAGTGGGCACTGATAGATTCCATTCCAATAAATAAAAATAATAAAAGACTTGTGCTAAAGCTTCAGTCACCCCTTAAAAGGGGTGGGGGTAGGGAAGAGACCCCAGTCTTGCATGAAAACCTAGGAATTGTATTTTGGTATATATATTTTTTTCTGTCGCCTCCTCCTGGCAATCAAGTCAACCCAGGCTTGCTGTCCAACATGAATCACTTGCCTGAGGTCTATATAAGTGAGCTGTGGACCTGCAGCTAATGCTGGCCGGTTCACTAGGCAAACACATGAGCAGCTGTGCTCACATGTAAGGCCAGAGCAGTCAAATCATCTGGATTTCTGTTTCCCTGATTAAGGGTACAGAGGCTGGCTTTCTTTTGACATAGGCCGACTAAATGCAGCTCCCCACTCTTTAGCCAGAGGCAAGCCCTGTGGACTGAATTGAACACAGCTGCTTCGTTCTTGCAAAGGAGAAACTGTAGATATGAAGGAAGCTCAGGTCTCGGTGGTAGGGACACTTATTTGGAAAGAAGTCCAGTTGGCATCAGCGGGACTTACTCTGAAGACATGAATACTAGTGGTTTGTCTTATACACGGAGCCAAGCAAGCTGTTTACAACCAGTTCAATCATAAAATAATGAAATTAAGTTAGCTGAGCTCTGGTACTGCAGCAATGGCCAGCACCAATAGTCTGAAATCCTGGCAAGTGCATTTACACTAAAGGTACCATGTGCATGCATGTGAGGAATATAATCCACAATGTAGCATGCAATAAAATTCAACACAAGAATCCTACAGTCTATTAGATGCATTGTAGTACATGCACATGGAGCATACAAAGTGGCAATGCAATGCAACTTGAGAATCTTGGCCAGCACTGTTTATGAATGCATACCCAATTCAGAGTCCATGAAAGTGCAATGTCTGAAAACTATGGCTCTGTTTTGATCTATTTTGCTCACATTGTATTAACAACTACAGTGTTACCTCAGGTTACATACGCTTCAGGTTACAGACTCCGCTAACCCAGAAATAGTACCCCGGGTTAAGAAATTTGCTTCAGGATGAGAACAGAAATCGTGCTCTGGCAGCGCGGTAGCAGCAGCAGGCCCCATTAGCTAAAGTGGTGCTTCAGGTTAAGAACAGTTTCAGGTTAAGTACGGACCTCCGGAACGAATTAAGTGGTACCCGAGGTACCACTGTAATGTGGTTAATGTAGAAATTTTGTTTGAAATTTGGGAGAGATAGGAGAAATAACTTAAGTCTTGAAAGGGTAGAAATGTTTTCTGCTAACACAAGCCATCCCCTGCAGTTTAAAACAGCCACACTGGCTGGAGCTGATTAGAGTTGGGTTGGGTTGCTGTTTTCTTCTTCTTCTTCTTCTTCTTTGGCGATCGCTCGTAGCTAAGTAAGACTGTCTTCCATAAACATGGTTTTAACAATGAGTCCGTAAGTGACTGTGGCTGTTCCACAGTGGGGACACTGGTGGGAGTTGATCATGGTGTGGATTTGCCAAGCGTACCTTCCTCTTAGCACGCTTCTCCCTTGCGTCCTGAGTTCGAGTGTCTTCAAAGCCTTTGGTGAAGGCTGTTCTCCAATTGGAGCGCTCACAGGCAAGTGTTTCCCAATTGTTGGTGTTTATACTACATTTTTAAAGATTTGCCTTGAGACGGTCTTTAAACCTCTTTTGTTGACCACCAGCATTACGCTTTCCATTTTAAAGTTCGGAATAGAGTAGTTGCTTTGGAAGACGATAATCGGGCATCCGCACAACATTAAGCTACCATGGACTATTAGCTATGAATCTACCGTGGACATGTGAATGAACAGGCAGAGTATGGATTTATTAAAAGTTGGTTCATGCTTGCAGAGGTTCATAAAGCATCAAGATGGTAGAGTGAACAGGGGAACAGTAACTTTTATTGGGTTCCAACATTCACCACGAAGTTGAGTCTCATGCCTCTCATTCCTACCCAGCCTGGCTTTGGAACTCATGAAGAATCATCAAAATCCACAACATTATACCCGAAAGTGTCATCTAGATATTTCACATCAATTTAACTATGATCAGTTCTGTAGTAAATTCATGTCAGCTCCAGCAGCAAGCCCTCAAGTGAGGAACATGAAAACATATTTTTCCAAAGGGAGACAGGTTGTTAACCAACCTTTAGCAAAAAAGGTAGCATTTAGTTAGTTGAAAGGTATTGACCAGGATCCAAATGACCCCATACAGCAGCATCACAGAGAGGTTTTCTTTGTTTATTTAGGTCTTCCTTCCACAGGCAGATTCCTGTCCTCCAAAAGCTTTGTGGAATGGCTGCTGGAAGGAAATATCACCCCTCATTTGTGTGTACACAGTAGCATTTTGTACTTACACAGAAGGTATTCTGGATCCTAATGTTAAGTATTATGTTCCATATAACCATATTCAACACTCAGTTTCATTCCAGCAAGAGAAGCAGAGCCTTGATTTTTTTTAAACAAAGGATACAAAATTGATTTTTTATTGTCACACAAGATGCACTTATAAAATTCATACAGAATATCATTTAAGAGGGAAAAAAATCATTCCAAGCTTCCCTTGAGCAACAATTAAATAAAAATTAAATTACAACAAATTCACAAATATTCTGAATTAAATTTTAATGATCAAAATTTGTCAAAATGAACACATCTGAAACAATCATTTCTGTATATTTCTAGCTTAGTTTTAAAATTCCTATTCCCACTGGATTCTTAACTTTGGCCACTTCTTCAAGCTGAAGTGAGAAAAGAGGCTTGATAAAAGGGGTGTGGGCTGGTGAATGGCTACTTGAGAACAGCCTATATATTTCCACCTTTTTAGCATTCATTGAAGCCTCTTTATCTGGATTTAATTTCTGTACACTGATTTTATTTTAGCAACAGTATCTGCAGCTTTGGAGGAATAAACATGTATTTTGAATTTTAAAATTTAGTATAACTTATCATTCTTTTCTGGGCCACTTTGCAATATCTAATAAATGAACCAACAAAGATCTAATCAGCACAAAAAAAATATCATATTTAAAAAGTTTTAAATATTGCATTGTGTTTTGTAGACATTGTCCATCAGGTAGCAAGAAAGCACTCTGAGTGCAGCAGGCTTTCTCACTATGCTGAGCTGAAATGTCTGTTATTCCAGATTCAACCCTTCTTGAATTGCTCTTTGCCTGTTTCCCAAGCCCTATGCACCCCAAGTAAAACAGCTTCATACTTCAAAGCCCAAGTACTTCTAAAGCAACATTCCTTCTACTTAAAAGTCTAAAACTAAAACCACCTATTTGAGGCTGTCTCCATTTTTGGCCATGTGCAGCTTTTCCAGCAAAGTCAAAGAAATGCTCTTAGCTGATTGACACATTACCATGTGCAAGTAACTTATTTTGTCTATTTCAATGCAAGGGCTCACAGTTGCAAGTGAAACATCTTTAAGTGCCAAGTGCAATCCCACATGTTGATTTTGCCCTTCCTCCCCCAAGCTTGTACACTTTTAACATTTACAGACTCAAGCTTTTCATGTTTAAAACACAGTGCAAATTAAACAGAAAGGAAGAAAAAGCTGTTCTTGCCCAGTTATCGCACATTCCACTATTCCCTGTTGTCGGTCAATTTCTGGCTACAGTCTTAACATTTAGACAAAAATAGTATGCAGTAAATATTTCCTTTAAGGGCGATTTATTTGGATTAGATGAAATACATTTTGAACAATCCTCTCGTAGCAAGAATATCTTGATTATGTATTCTACTAAAAGTTTGAAAAAGTCTTTTGGCAGGTGAAGAGTTTTGAAATGTTTTGTAGTGGCTTATGAAAGCAGAAAGGGATGCTTGTTGTTAAAGACGCAAACACGTTCCTTATGTTATCCTTCTAATTAAGGGGCTTTATGAATAGTGATGCGTTCTGGAAGCACTGTTTCGTAAAAATGGATTTAAATATATTTCACACGTTATTTTTCAGGAAAGCGATGCCGTAGCTTTGCCAAGCGGAAGATCTCTCAAAACTCACATTTTCCAAAACAACCAAGTTAACCATGTGAAGCTTGATTGGTTATCAAGCCAAGTTATTCACTGTAATAGGTCTGCCATTAATAATTTAAGTTTTTAAATAAATATTTTTAAGTGCCTTGTTTGGCACCCATCCATCGTGGCAGCGCCTGCTGTCCCAACAGCTCAGTATACTAAGCACATTTTATTTACAAAAGTTTAGTCAATTCTGTTTCCACAAATTGTAAACCTGTCTATCTCCAACAAATCTTTCTTTGCAGATCTGTGTTTTGACTCGGAACTGTCCTGGCTTATATCTTTCTCATCTCCATCAGGAGTTGTCAGGAACTGATCCGAGTTGCTCGTCACAAGCTGAGGCACTGCATTTTCCTTCTGGTGTACAGGCTGACTGGTCACGGAAGCAGACAGGTTTTCATCTGTGGAAATTCATGCATGGAAAATAGAAATTAGGATTTCGCACAGTGGGAGAAGACACTGATTATAGATCTGTATGTTTATTGGCTTGTCACTGCACTGCAGGGTTAGCAAGTTAAAGATCTGTTCAACAGATATGCAAGGCAACTTGGGGTATCAGGTGCATAAAATCCTGCCACAGAATTTCTCTCTTTTGTCGACAGTAGTGTTACATACTCCTGTTTAAGCCATGTCAGTAACCTTCTAACTTTTGCATTTCTAATGTAAAGTAACCTTTTTGATACCTTCAGGTTGTTAAAGATAAAACCATACCAGCCCTCTCTGACAACTCCAGTAAGTAAGGGAGCTCAGTTATGGCAGAAGTTGCTAGTGATTACAAAGAAATGCTAAACAAAAGCAGGGAAGGATGAATGGCTCGCTGACACATGATTTACACCAACTCTACACTTTACTGTCCTTCAAAAGCACAAATGGAGATAGTGATTTACCAGAGATCAGTTTTTATTTCACTTTAATTTGCTACACTGGGTGGAATGTTCTTTATTTTCTTTTGCCCAATTCTCTTTCACCTTTGAGCTTGCCCAACCCTTGGAAGGTTGGCTGTTGGGCCAAAAGAGGTTTCCCAGCCCTGCTCTGCTGAAATCAGACGTATAATAATAATGTTATTATTTATACCCCAGCCACTGGGTTGGGTGGCCTCAACCATGCCACATCAGATACTGAAATTTAAAACTTTATGGAATTAATCAGGCTACATAGTAAATAAGTAATAACTCGAAAACCATTCTATCGCATTTTCTTAAAAGCTTAGTTTCTTGGAAGCCAAGTCTGTTGTAAAGGAAGGTAAAGGTAAAGGACCCCTGACAGTTAAGTCCAGTCGCAGACGACTCTGGGGTTGCAGCGCCCATCTTGCTTTACTGGTCGAGGGAGCCGGTGTTTGTCCGCTGACAGTTTTTCCAGGTCATGTGGCCAGCATGACTAAGCCGCTTCTGGTGAAACCAGAGCAGTGCACAGAAACGCCGTTTACCTTCTTGCTGGAGCGGTACCTATTTATCTACTTGCACTTTTTGGCGTGCTTTCGAACTGCTAGGTTGGCAGGAGCTGGGACCGAGCAACGGGAGCTCACTCCGTCACGGGGATTTGAACCGCCAACCTTCTGATCGGCAAGTCCAAGAGGCTCAGTGGTTTAGACCACAACGCCACCCAAATCCCTAAGCCTGTTGTTAGGAGCAATGAAAACAAAGGTGAATCTTTTAAGAAATAAAATGATCAAATTCAATATAATTTTTGGAATTGCCCTGTTCAAAGTGCTTATAAATAACCCAGATAAGATGAAGTGGTCTGTTAGAAGTTAGTAACTGACTGGACTAATATACTTTAATCCCAATACTGTGACTTGAGTTTCTCAGTTCTCAAATGTGGTGCTATTACTGTTCGTAGGGCATGAGGAATGGACCAGGAGTGCATGATGTTTTAACATTACTGAAACTAATGGAGTGTAGGCTTAGTAAGCTGCTTAACTGAAAAAATGCTGGGAGCGCCTTGTAAGACTAGGATAAAACAAAAACCAAATGCTGTGCTTTGAAAAAAAATCTAGAAATGGAAAAGACCTTAACTTCCTGTGGGCTCACATACTACGCTTTCCCCTCTCCTCTCTGCAAGCATGGCTGCAAGAAGTTCAGAGGTTTTGCTTTAGATTTCAATTCAGCCTTAATTGTGAACCCCAAGCTGTGGTTAATTTTAACAATGGATGGTTGAAACCAGCCAGCTTCATTAACTTTGCCCTGATCCCACAATAAGGCCTCTTATTCTTCCTGGAGAAATTAAAAATTCAGGTCTGTTCTAATTCAGAACAGTGAATATTTGGCATTTCCCCCAAAGTGCCAGATATTTTTAAGTGATCAAAAACACGAAGGTGTGTTTTGTTGGGTCAATACTGGAAGTAATACTTTGAGTTACATGGACCCCTGCGGTTTCCTAACACTTTAGTTGGTGCTTCCAAGGACAAAGCGACGCTGCACAGTAGACGAGAGATATGACAGAAGTCCAGAAGTAATAGGTTCCGCTCACCTTGAGTGGGCTTGTACTTGCTTTGTGATTTGCCTAGTGGTTTGCCTGGGGTGCTAGCAGGAGGAGGGTTGAACAACTTCTCTTCCATGTTTGCTTCTTTGACGTACTGGCATGACTTTCCCAAGAGCACAATGCTATTAAGTACTTTGAGTGATATCAACCTGCAAGCAACAAGTATGTATGAAGTGATTCCAAAAACAGGAAGTGGATATGTCAGAATCGCCACTTCTTCCCTCTTAGTCTCCTCCATCCCTGCCTGATTCAAATTTCTGCCATTATTTTAAGCCACCATTTTCCCCCTCTGAGTGTTTCCACCTTCTCACTCCCATGCCACGGCCACAGCTGTTGTGCAACCTGCTTTCGTTTTGCTCCCCTACCCCAACCTGACTTCATGCAAATACAGGATTCTGATGTAGAACTACAAATCCTGCAACGGGGGCTGCACATTATTATATATAAAAGCATTTTATGCTTGTGAAGTATGGCAAAGCCATCCAGTTGCCTGCATTTGTCATGACCCCCCACCACTGCCAAAAAGATGCCAAGGAAGAAAACCAAAATGAGTCAAGAGCAGAAGCATTTTGACAATTTGGGTCCCTGGACCACATAAATTGTCATTCAGATCCATAGGTGTGTGTAGTATGGGTTGCTATAAAGAAGGTGCAAGTACATAATCAAGTGCTTTACATTATTATCTAATACATAAAGAACACTTTCTCATGGCTCACTTCTGTCTGTCAAAAGTTTGCAGGGCAGCAGCTGAAGAAGGAGCAAAAAGGGTTTTCTTGTGTGTGTGTTTCTTTGTGGCTGATTGGCTGCTTTCCCTGTGCAAAGGTCAGAGGGGGCAGGGTTTCTGTTGAGGCAGGTGATTAGCTGTGGGAGGAGCTTATCAGAGCTTGCAGGGCAGCGGCGCGCGCCAAGCGGCGCGTGCAGTTTAATACAACTTTTATATTTATGGGAGCTAGTCTCAAAACGTTTTTGGGGGTGACCTAGGTTTTTTTGTGGGGGAGTTATTTTCCTGTCTTCACGCTTTTTATGATGGAGGACCGCTGTAGCCACCCCCAACGACACGTTCTCAAGATGGAGGGAGGGAACAGCTGCAGTCGCCTGCGGTTCCTGCGCAATGTTTGCCATCTTGCCAAAGGTTGCAGGCAGCTTTACCTGCAGCAATTGCATGTTGATTGCCCTCTTAAAAGACAAAGTCCAGCAACTGGAGGAATGTGTAGCTACGCTCCAAAGAATTAGAGAGCTGGAGCTCTTCTTGGAAGCAACAGAGCACACCGTCTCCACCAAGGAGGAGACAGGGGACTCCCCAGAGAAGGACGCTAGTTCACCAACACAGGAGCCAGATATATGGAGAAACGTGACTCAAAGAAGTAGGAGGCCCAGGGTTCGCTCTGATTGTTTAGAAATACACAATCGCTTTGAGGTCCTCTCCCTAGCATGGAAGACGAAGAGCAGACTCCATTTGAGGATCTCTCCCTCATTACAGTCGATCAGGTATATGAAGACGAGCAGCAAAGTCAGTCCTCAGGGAATGTGCAGGCGACCTTGGAGCGGATAGCTCACGGAAGAACCCCGACCAAACCTAAGAGGAGGCGTGTAGTGGTGATAGGGGATTCCCTACTGAGGGGAACAGAAGCAGTGATCTGTGGGCCTGACAAGAAGTGTGCTGTCTCCCCGGGGCTAAGATCCAAGATGTAACGGAACAACTGCAAGGAATCATAAAACCCACTGACAAATACCCCTTCCTCTTGGTTCATGTGGGAACCAATGACACTGCAAGCAATAGCCTCCAGAAGATCAAAAGAGACTACGAGGCTCTGGGCAGGAAATTGAAGCAATTAAATGCACAAATTGTCATCTCATCTGTCCTTGCAGTTGAACGGCGTGGCCCAGGGAGAGAGGGAAAATAGTGGAAGTGAACAGCTGGCTTCGCAAATGGTGTAAACAGGAACGGTTTGGATTCTTAGATCACGGACTGCAGTTTCTTGAAGATGGACTTCTGGCAAGCGATGGGCTGCACCTCACAACGGTTGGGAGGAATGTTTTTGCCAAAAATCTCAGAAACCTCATCAGGGGGCTTTAAACTGACTAATGTGGGGAGGGAGACAGTGCTCCTGAAGGTAGGAGTCTATCAATTGATGAAGATGATCCTCCAAATGTCATAGACCAAATGGAGCAAACAGCACACAGACCTAGTGGTGGGAGGAAAAATCCTTAAATAAGAGTCACGGGGAATGATTAATGGACTTCAATGTCTGTACACTAATGCGCAAAGCATGGGAAATAAACAAGATGAGCTTGAGCTCTTGGTACAGCAAACTAAATATGACATAATAGGCATCACTGAAACCTGGTGGGATAAGTCCCACGATTGGAATGTAATAATGGGGGATACAATCTATTTCAGAGAAACAGACCAGACAAGAAAGGAGGAGGAGTGGCGTTATATGTCAGGGATGTGTATACCTGTGAAGAGATCCAAGATTTAGAACCTCAAAGCCAAAGTGAGAGCATTTGGGTCAAAATTAAGGGAGAGAAGAATAACAGTGACCTCATTGTGGGAGTTTACTATAGATCCCCAAGCCAAACGGAGGACATAGATGATGCCTTCCTGGAACAGATGGCCAAGCATGCAAAAGGAAGGGAGATAGTGGTAATGGGGACTTCAATTACCCGGATATTTGTTGGATGTCAAACTCAGCCAAGAGCATAAGGTCAAACAGATTCCTCACTGGCCTTGCAGACAACTTCATTGTCCAGAAAGTGGGAGAAGCAACAAGAGGAACAGCCATTTTAGATCTGGTCCTAACCAATGTTGATGACCTGGTTAGTGGGGTAGAAGTGGAAGGATCATTAGGCGCGAGTGATCATGCTCTTCTGAAGTTTACTATACAGCGGAAAGGAGCAGCCAAGCATACTAGGACTCAATTTCTTGACTTTAAGAAAGCTGACTTCATAAAACTTAGGGAAGTGCTGGGTGAGATCCCATGGACAGTAATACTAAAAGGAAAGGGAGTTCATGATGGCTGGGAGTTTGTTAAGAGGAGATAGTAAAAGCACAACTTCAGGCAATACCAATGAGACGGAAACATGGAAGGTGCCTAAAGAAGCCAGGGTGGCTATCTAAAGAACTTTTAACTGAGTTAAGATTAAAAAAGGATGTGTACAAAAAATGGAAAAGGGGGGAAACCACCAAAGAGGAATTCAAACAAATAGGCAGCACGTATAGACACAAAATCAGAAAAGCTAAAGCACAGAATGAACTCAGGCTTGCTAGAGAGGTTAAAAGCAACAAAAAAGGCTTTTATGGGTATGTCCATAGCAAAAGGAAGAACAAAGAAACAGTGGGGTCACTCAGAGGAGAAGATGGTGAAATGCAAACAGGGGACACAGAAAGAGCTGAACTCCTCAATGCCTTCTTTGCCTCAGTCTTCTCCGATAAAGAAAACAATGCCCGACCTGAAGAATTTGGAGCAAATGATTCAGCAGAGGAAACACAGCCCAGAATAACTAAGGAGATAGTACAAGAATACTTGGCTAGTTTAGATGTATTCAAGTCTCCAGGGCCAGATGAACTGCATCCAAGAGTATTAAAAGAACTGGCAGATGTGATCTCAGAACCACTGGCAGTCATCTTTGAGAATTCCTGGAGAACAGGCGAAGTCCCGGCAGACTGGAGGAGGGCAAATGTTGTCCCTATTTTCAAAAAGGGGAAAGAGAGGACCCAAATAATTACCGCCCAGTCAGTCTGACATCAATACCAGGGAAGATTCTGGAGCAGATCATTAAGCAAACAGTCTGTGAGCACCTAGAAAGGAATGCTGTGATCACCAATAGTCAGCATGGATTTCTGAAAAATAAGTCATGTCAGACTAACCTGATCTCGTTTTTGACAGAATTACAAGCCTGGTAGATGAAGGGAACACAGTGGATGTAGCCTACCTTGATTTCAGCAAGGCATTTGACAAGGTGCCCCATGATATTCTTGTAAAGAAGCTGGTAAAATGTGGTCTTGACTATGCTACCACTCAGTGGATTTGTAACTGGCTGACTGACCGAACCCAAAGGGTGCTCATCAATGGTTCCTCTTCATCCTGGAGAAGAGTGACTAGTGGGGTGCCACAGGGTTCTGTCTTGGGCCCGGTCTTATTCAACATCTTTATCAACGACTTGGATGATGGACTCAAGGGCATCCTGATCAAATTTGCAGATGACACCAAATTGGGAGGGTGGCTAAAACCCCAGAGGACAGGATCACACTTCAAAACGACCTTGACAGATTAGAGAACTGGGCCAAAACAAACAAGATGAATTTTAACAAGGAGAAATGTAAAGTATTGCACTTGGGCAAAAAAAATGAGAGGCACAAATACAAGATGGGGGACACCTGGCTTGAGAGCAGTACATGTGAAAAGGATCTAGGAGTCTTGGTTGACCACAAACTTGACATGAGCCAACAGTGTGACGCAGCAGCTAAAAAAGCCAATGCAATTCTGGGCTGCATCAATAGGAGTATAGCATCTAGATCAAGGGAAGTAATAGTGCCACTGTATTCTGCTCTGGTCAGACCTCACCTGGAGTACTGTGTCCAGTTCTGGGGACCACAGTTCAAGAAGGACACTGACAAACTGGAACGTGTCCAGAGGAGGGCAACCAAAATGGTCAAAGGCCTGGAAACGATGCCTTATGAGGAACGGCTAAGAGAGCTGGGCATGTTTAGCCTGGAGAAGAGGAGGTTAAGGGGTGATATGATAGCCATGTTCAAATATATAAAAGGATGTCACATAGAGGAGGGAGAAAGGTTGTTTTCTGCTGCTCCAGAGAAGCGGACACGGAGCAATGGATCCAAACTACAAGAAAGAAGATTCCACCTAAACATTAGGAAGAACTTCCTGACAGTAAGAGCTGTTCGACAGTGGAATTTGCTGCCAAGGAGTGTGGTGGAGTCTCCTTCTTTGGAGGTCTTTAAGCAGAGGCTTGACAACCATATGTCAGGAGTGCTCTGATGATGTTTCCTGCTTGGCAGGGGGTTGGACTCGATGGCCCTTGTGGTCTCTTCCAACTCTATGATTCTATGAAAAGTGACTTTATCCAACTACAGTGCTACCTCCGGTTGCGGACAGGATCCGTTCCGGAGCTCCGAGGTTTCTGCAACCAGAGGGACTGCTTCTGCGCATGCGCACAATGAGGTAGTGTGCTTCTGCGCATTAAGCAAAACACTTCCGGGTTTGCCGCTTTCTCAACCCAAAGTTTATGTTACCCGAGGGTAACGTAAGCCAGGGTGCTACTGTACACTGCTTACATCAATTCTTCCAATTAAAGTTTCCTAAATGAAACATTTTTACAAATTGTTTGATCTGTACTTACCCACAGTAGAAGAGAACAACACAAGCATAAGCCAAGACTCCTTGAACTTTTACTGAACTTGTAACAACTCTGATGAGCTAGAGGAAGAAATGAGTTAACACAGTTAAGCATTTTTAAAATAAAAGAACGATAACAAATCTGGGCATTAAAAAATGAAAATAGTTCTAATAATTATGTAACAGAATTTCAGATATTTTCTATCTTTCTACACATCATCCTTTTTAAGAAACCTTGCGTCTTTTGAAACACACAGAGTAATAATTTCAGTAGCGTGACATTATCTTAACTACTCTTCAAAGCTGGCTGTGGGATCTCTCCTCCCCTTTCATATTGTCTTTTCATTCAGCTGTCCAAGGTAGTGGTGGAAGTACTGCTTTGTAGTGGTTCTAGTTCTACTTAGCCAATTCCAACAGGTGAAAGGGGAGTGCTGCTCAGACCCCTAAGGTTGTCAAGGTGGGGCTCTGCAGGAAGGTATTGTCATCAATATGTTGACCACACAGCTCTATTTATTCCTTTCATCACAAGCAGTTGTGGTGGCTGATGTGGTGAACCAGTACTGACAAAGGTAATGGACTGGACGAGGGTCAGTAATTTGAAGCTCAGTCCAGACAAGACAAATATATTGTTGGTGAGTGGTTCCTCTGACAATGTAAGTATGTACCGTATTTTTTGCTCTATAAGACTCACTTTTTCCCTCCTAAAAAGTAAGGGGAAAGTGTGTGCGTCTTATGGAGCGAATCCCAGAAGCCAGAACAGCAAGAGGGATTGCTGCTTTCACTGCGTAGCGATCCCTCTTGCTGTTCTGGCTTCTGAGATTCAGAATATCTTTTTTCTTGTTTTCCTCCTCCAACAACTAGGTGCGTCTTGTGGTCTGGTGCGTCTTATAGAGCGAAAAATACGGTAAGTGATAATGATAAACCAATCTGGAATGGGATTATGCTTCCCTTGAAGGACCAGGTTTGTAGCTTGAGGGATACTTCTGGAACCAATACTGTCCAAGCAGCTCAGAGTGCCTTCTACCAGCTTTGGCTGGTGGTCCAGCAATGTAGGTGTGGATAATCTAGCATCTAGTCCAGGCATAGGCAAACCCGGCCCTCCAGATGTTCTGAGACTACAACTCCCATCATCCCTGACCACTGGTCCTGTTAGCTAGGGATGATGGGAGTTGCAGGCCAAAACATCTGGAGGGCCGAGTTTGCCTATGCCTGATCTAGTCTCTGCTCTGGTAACGTCAAGGTTAGATTGCTACAATGTGTGGCACCTGAGGCTGCCTTTGAAGATTGGCTGGAAACTACAGGTGGTGCATAACTTAGTTATTGAACATATGTACTGGCTTCCAATAAATTTCTGGAGCAAATTTTAAGTGCTGGTTTAGACCTATGAAGCCTTACATGGCTTGGGACTCCAATACCTTATAGAACACTTTTCCAGCAGTAGACTCCTTGTTATTAAAGGCCTTCCTCTAAGTGTCCCCTTCAGCAAAGATGTGGAGGCTGGTAACAAGCGGACCTCCATTTGTGGAGTATTCTCCTCAAGAAAGTTTGCCTGCCACCAACATCATCTTCTTTCCAGTGCAAGGCTACAAGCCGTTTCTTCTCCCAGGCATTTGTTAATTTTGCTCTCTCTCTGCTGCTGGGGCTTTCTGCTAGTTGCTTTTTATAGAGAATATTTTTTCCCCTTTCGGACATTTTTGCAGGATCATTTTAGGTTTCGTTTACTACGTTTTTAACTTGGAAGTCTGTATCACCAAAACCCAAGCTCTCACAGTAAAGTCTAAAGAGACTTTTTAATTTTAAAAGCTAGCTACATAAGAATATATACCATTTTCAGCCAAGCTTTAACCTCACAGTACTTGAGGAAACTATGTTCTGGGGCTACATCACATAATACCCCTCTTCAAAAATAGCAATTCAAGGGTTTTGGAATATATTTCATCCCTTGGTAAAATTTTCACCACTTACCAAGGGAGTTTGCAAAATGACAACGAAGACATGACTTACTAGAACAGCCAATGGGAGAGGAATAAACCCCATTCTCCTGGAAACGGAGTCACTGTAATCTGTGTATGCCTAGGAGAAAAGAATTGAACCTGAGTTTTTAAATTAAGGGTAGAAAACAAAAATAACAGAGCTAGTTCCACTGGGACTGGCTACACGTTTTTGATGGCATCAACCTTCCCTGAAGCATCCATTTGAAAAAGAACAAAATCACATTTAAACTGTTGAAACTTGCCTCATAAAATGGCAAATATATTTGTGTGTGTGAATCCAATTAAAATTAATGCAATTTAAATTCACTGACCTATAAAGAAGGATCAAGCCATCACACATTGTATCAGCAGATTACAAAGACATTTAATGGCATACTACGGCTGCGTTATCTAAAGGAAGGACTTGAATGTCATAAACATTAAGGAAAATATGAAATGTGACAGCCATCACCATGCAGTTACAGATACTGCCTTTAAAATTAGGGCAGCTACCTCATCTATTTATCTCTTCCCCAGTCCCCATCTCAGCTCTACCATCTACATACCAACACTGAAACCCAGCTTCAACACTCGAACAATGTGACCGTTGCTGCTCTTTCCCTCACAGGTATCTCATTCTCCCACAAATCGTGTCCAGAAGGTTGTGGGGGCCAGATGACTACCCTCCTTCCAGATTTTGTCAGTCCCACCCATTGCCCACTTCCCTACTCCACTTTTTCTCTACCTTTGAAATTAATTGTGTTGAATTCTGCTCCCTTTGCATCTCTGCATTACACTTCTTTAGCACCCTATTCCATGACTCAATCTTCATTACAGGCTGAGGCCGGGCTTGCCTTTCTTCCTCTCTGACAAAACTCCAAACTTGGTCCTTAGCAATTTCAACTTTTATGCTGACTTGCCCTCCGTCCTCTCTTCCTTACCTCCTCTTGATCCTTTCTTCACCAACAACTGCTTTGTTTCTGCTCTCTCTTCTGTGAAATTCTTACTGTTTGATCATTACATTCAACAGTGCACACAACTCAACCTCCCCACATCCAGTTTCTGCTGCTTCTGCAGCGTCCAAACCATTCAGTCATTCGCCAGGCTTTTTCTGCTTGCTTCTTCGACACTGCACTTTCTGTTTTCAATTATCACTGACTTCACCTCTCACATGCGGGACGCGGGTGGCGCTGTGGGTTAAACTACAGAGCCTAGGGCTTGCCGATCAGAAGGTCGGCGGTTCTAATCCTTGCGACAGGGTGAGCTCCCGTTGCTCGGTCCCAGCTCCTGCCAACCTAGCAGTTCGAAAGCACATCAAAGTGCAAGTAGATAAATAGGTACCGCTCCAGCGGGAAGGTAAACGGGGTTTCCGTGCGCTGCTCTGGTTCGCCAGAAACAGCTTAGTCATGCTGGCCACATGACCCGGAAGCTGTACATAAGCTCCCTCGGCCAATAAAGCGAGATGAGCGCCGCAACCCCAGAGTCGGCCACGACTAGACCTAATGGTCAGGGGTCCCTCTACCTTTACCTCACCTCTCACATAGTTGCTCCATTCTTCAGTGAACTATACACATCCCTTTGATCGCCAGCCCTGACTCACATTCATGTTCTCATCCAGCCTCTCCCGCTTCTCACTTGCCATTGAGCTGAACAAACGACACTGCTACATCTGAACATGAGAACATGCTCTGCTGATGTGTTTGTGAAGTTTGCTCAGCTTCACATAGAGACAGGAACACAGCATAGTTAGGTACTAGCATCCTATTTAGTTTGAATGCTGAAGATTGTGAATAACAATATTTTAAAATAGAATGGCAAAAAAGAAAACAGACTAATATAAAACTAAATGTCAAGTGAATCACATTAAACTTGTACACATCATTTTAATTCCCTGTGCAAAGAGTGAAGTAAGCTTTTTCTAACACTTGGGAGACCAACACAATTTCTGATTAACTGATGGATTCCATTTTCTGGAATAAAACCAGGCACGTCCTTTAGTGTAAGGAACAGGCATTTTTCACTCTGCTACTTACATTTTTCTGTCGACTGCTAACAAGGTCAAATGCAAGACTGGCTCTGTATTCACTGTAGACCTGAAAACAGAGCAACACAAGTCCTTTCATTCTGATCAAAGTAAATACCAGCAATAAAATGAGTACTGTAATTATTAAAAATAAATTTAGGATTAGCACACTTAGCATTGCCGTACTGTTTCTCAGATACTCAATTATCATTGAAGAGTAAGCTTAACAACTGGATTCCTATGATATGGGATAGGAAAAAGCAGATTCTGTTGGATCAGTCCAGTGCCGTGTGGATATTCTTATGTACACAGGGTTCTGCTCAACCCATATGCAGTATCAAGCAGAGAAAAAGATGCAGGTACTAAGATGAAACATCTATTAAAGTTTATCCATGCAAGAGCTCCATAAGCATTTAAGAGCCCATATCCAACAGTGTGCTGTAGATATGGATGATAGTTAAGTGCTTTGTTCCAGAAAAGCTCAGTATGAATAGAGAAAACATTGAGTCTATAAACCATTATACATCACTGACCTTCTTTGCTGCAATCACTTAAGCATGTTTCTCTCATAAAAACTAGTATTTATAGGCTTGCTTGTTTATAAGTCAATCTTACCTCCAAGCAGATATAGCTGGAGTAAGGTGCAACTCTTGTTTTTTGATATTATTCCAAAGAACATTAAAACTCAACAAGTGGGTGGAAAGCTGAACATCTACGTGGACACTAGCTGAAAAAGCTTTTTTAAAAAAAGGTATGTGTCTACTTTCAGGCTACTAAGCCTAATTCTGATTCAGCATCTGCAACGGCCATTCGCTTCAAATGGGGTGTGTGTGAAATCAGGTACTACGTAGTATCAGTATTATTTATTTATAAAATCTATGTGTTAATAAGAAACCTCACAGGTCTGGGTACCATAATAAATCTAGTAGGCTAGAGCTATCATTTCCATTTTTCACTGCATTATTTCTGCACTCATTATACAAAAGTAGGCCATGTATAACTGCCTTTGGCACAATATAACTTATTAAGTGCATTTATTAAATGTGCTTCCACACTATACTGCTGCTACTTTGCAAATCCAGCCACCCTGTCTATATCTGACCTCGCTTCTTAAATGAACATATGTGCACACGAATGCAATGAAGGGAAAATATTTGCCTCTATTCTTATTCTTTATCATGTCCTTGAAACTAAAACACAATTTTAATGGCTAATATGAGATGGACAAGGCTTGTGGCGTTAGCAGACAACACATTTTCATCTTGTAATTTTGGGTTTGTTCCTTTTTTACTAAAACCCCAAGATCAACCAAGCAGAGCTAGGAGCAGAAGATATACACTTTGAATTAAAGAATTCTAAAGCCCAGGAACTTGTTTTGTGTATCAGATCTGTACTGAGCTCACATTCCTTCCGCACTAAAAAGCTCCAGACATTGGAACCCTTTTTCATAGGGAAGTCACTCCAATCTCATGATCATTTTTCTCCCTTTTACTCTTTTCAGCACCTTTTACAGGCCTTCAACACCCATTTTGAGGTGCAGCAACGCAGCACTCCAAGTAACTGAGCGTAATGACATTATTATACTGGTAGCATATCTATGAAATTTGCATCATTTTACAGTTGCTTACAAGTGAAGCATATTTGCCATTTCAATGCCTACTTAACCAATATGGAGGGCTCCTTTTTGCACCTCCTCACAATTCTTGATTTACCACCCTGAATAGAATATAGGTGTTTAATGAGCCCTACACGAGCCTTCTTCATACAGATACTGCATCCATGCTAAGACCGCATCATACCCAATTTCAAATTGAAATGTACAATGGTTCAACAATATACTTACATCAGCTGTGATGTCATTGAATTTTGTTATAAAAGCATGTTTTACAATATCTACTGCAATTTCTGATGCAATCACCATACAAACATCTGGAAACAATACCCAGAGATGATCTGTAAAGACAGGGTGAGTGTCAGATGTACAAATGTGTCACAAAAAACCAATGGCAGAAAAAGGTAAGTACATACTGTTTGGCCCAACAGTCAGAACCTGAAGCTGCAAATGTCTACGTGTTAGAAACCTCAGGAAATGCCAAGGTAATAATTGCTGAGGTTTCTGCACCACACAAGCTAGAATATCACACACTTGGCCATAATCCACACCAATGTAACTCTTCTTAAGAAAGTGTTGTGTGTACAAATTAAGAAATTCTCATGCGATTAATTTCTGTTCTTCTCATAGATAAGAGTCTCATTCATGACTGGGGGTAGGTTCCACTTCCTAGTAACAGAAAGCCTAAATTATGATCTGGATAGCTAGAATCTATGAGAATAACAGGTGTTCACCAAGTGAGATGTTTCTTCTTCTCCTCTCAACAGGATCCTGCAGAATTTAATGAACATGTTGTTGTTGTTTAGGTCGTTTAGTCGTGTCCAACTCTTCGTGACCCCATGGACCAGAGCACGCCAGGCATTTCTGTCCTCCACTGCCTCCCGCAGTTTGATCAAACTCATGCTGGTAGCTTCAAGAACACCATCCAACCATCTCATCCTCTGTCGCCCCCTTCTCCTTGTGCCCTCCATCTTTCCCAACATCAGAGTCTTTTCCAGGGAGTCTTCTCTTCTCATGAGGTGGCCAAAGTATTGGAGCCTCAGCTTCACGATCTGTCCTTCCAGTGAGCACTCAGGGCTGATTTCCTTAAGAATGGATACGTTTGATCTTCTTGCAGTCCATGGGACTCTCAAGAGACTCCTCCAGCACCATAATTCAAAAGCATCAATTCTTCGGCGATCAGCCTTCTTTATGGTCCAGCTCTCACTTCTATACATCACTACTGGGAAAACCATGGCTTTTACTATATGGACCTTTGTTGGCAAGGTGATGTCTCTACTTTTTAAGATGCGGTCTAGGTTTGTCATTGCTTTTCTCCCAAGAAGCAGGCGTCTTTTAATTTCGTGACTGCTGTCACCATCTGCAGTGATCATGGAGCCCAAGAAAGTAAAATCTCTTACTGCCTCCATTTCTTCCCCTTCTATTTGCCAGGAGGTGATGGGACCAGTGGCCATGATCTTCGTTTTTTTTATGTTGAGCTTCAGACCATATTTTGTGCTCTCCCCTTTCACCCTCAATAAAAGGTTCTTTAATTCCTCCTCACTTTCTGCCATCAAGGTTGTGTCATCTGCATATCTGAGGTTGTTGATATTTCTTCCGGCAATCTTAATTCCGGCTTCGAATTCATCCAGCCCAGCCTTTCGCATGATGAATTCTGCATATAAGTTAAATAACCAGGGAGACAATATACAGCCTTGCCGTACTCCTTTCCCAATTTTGAACCAATCAGTTGTTCCATATCCAGTTCTAACTGAAGCTTCTTGTCCCACATAGAGATTTCTCAGGAGACAGATGAGGTGATCAGGCACTCCCATTTCTTTAAGAACTTGCCATAGTTTGCTGTGGTCGACACAGTCAAAGGCTTTTGCATAGTCAATGAAGCAGAAGTAGATGTCTTTCTGGCACTCTCTAGCTTTCTCCATAATCCAGCGCATGTTTGCAATTTGGTCTCTGGTTCCTCTGCCTCTTCTAAATCCAGCTTGCACTTCTGGGAGTTCTCGGTCCACATACTGCTTGAGCCTTCCTTGTAGAATTTTAAGCATAACCTTGCTAGCGTGTGAAATGAGTGAAATTGTGCGGTAGTTGGAGCATTCTTTGGCACTGCCCTTCTTTGGGATTGGGATGTAGACTGATCTTCTCCAATCCTCTGGCCACTGCTGAGTTTTCCAAATGAACATGGGGATAGCCAAAAGCAGTGTATCTTAGTGAAAGCATGAATACTCCTGTGCCAAAATAACAGGGCCTAAGCTTCCTGTGCTCTCTGGAAGGGCTTTGTGATCAAAGGCAGCCACAGGAAGAGAAAGGAATCAATGATGCATTGTGAATTAAGACATGTGCTTTTGCTCTGCAAATCTTTTCAGTGAGGCTCTCTTAAAAAAATACCTGCAGACATCCTTCTAACAGAATGTGCCAGATATCAAGCAGGAGAAGCTGGTGGAGGAATGAGTTAGGCCTATATTAACAGCCACCCAGAGAGTAGCAGTAGAAACATTTTTCTTTCTTTCTGAAAGACCTGGTGAGTATCAACCGCTTTCAGTTTTAACCTGAGAATTGTCATCTGTCCAGTTTTAACTTTAATTTTAATTTATTTGAATTAATTTTTGGATGCATTTTAATCCATTGATTGCTTGTTTTTATGCATATTGTATTATTTATATGATGTTAGCTCTGAGCCTGGCTCCGGCCAGGGAGGGCGGGGTACAAATAAAAATTTATTATTAATTATTATTATTTATAGAATATAAGGTCCCTGCAGACATCCAGCAAATGCCACTCCTTCTTAGGCATGACAGGGTATATACAAAAGAATGAGCTCTGGAGTGCTAACTTTTGGTGTGAATGAGGCAGGAAGATAACACTATTTTGTTGAAAAATTAGAAAACTTCAGCCCACAGAAAACCCTCTATAGTCTCATTAGCACGTAACACTATAGTGTTCATGGCTCACTGTGAAAGAACAAGTGTGCTCACGCACAGAGAGGAAATTGCAACACTTTGTTCCTCTCCTGCTCTGTTACCAAGAGCATTATGCATTATGTTTTAACCTGAATTAAAGCACTTGGATAAATCATTAATACAGCGTACACACATGATAATAAGATCCAGTGACAATACACAGATAACATACTGAAGAATTAATCAAGTCAACCACTTTTGCATTAAAATAGGTACAGCCAAATTATGTTTATGCTGCTGGCAGTCAATACAACTAAAATGTCTCCAAATTTTTATTCTATATTTCTTGTCTGGAAATAGACTTTACCTGGATTCCATGAAAACTGTTCCATGTTTCTTAGACAAACTATCAGTAACAGCACATAGTTGGTGAATCTCTCCTTTATATCTAAAAAGAATAATAAACTTTTAAGGCTACAAAAATAGCAATTTGCATCACCATTCTACAGAAGAGTTCTTATACAGAGGCTAAATTTAGCAGTGGATTAATATTACTTATAAAAAGCTGCACTCTGTGCAAGAGCACGGAATAAGTTCGCGACCGATGTATGGATTCATCAAATCCAACCTAACAATCCGAACGTGGAAAATAAGTTGCCTTTATTGTTCATTTGTTCTATGCACATCTGGAATAATATACAACTGTATTCTTCCTCAGGGAACGGCAAAAGTGATGCTCTACAATACTGGATCATAAGTTGGCTTGATTTAATAATTACTGCTATATGTAACATCTGAAAAAAAATGAAAAATCATGGCTAATCACACGGTGCAATCCTATGCATATTTACTCAGAAAGTGAGTCCCACAGCATTCAATGGGTCTTCCGCACAGGCCTCTAGTTTAAGGAGGCCGGAATGAACTCAAGTTTAAGTGTTTGAAACATGTAAAAGGTAAAGGTAAAGGGACCCCAGATCATTAGGTCCAGTCGTGAAGGACTCCGGGGTTGCGGCGCTCATCTCACTTTATTGGCCGAGGGAGCCGGCGTACAGAATGACTAAGCCAGTTCTGGCGAACCAGAGCAGCTCACAGAAACGCCGTTTACCTTCCTGCTGGAGCGGTACCTATTTATCTACTTGCTTTGATGTGCTTTCGAACTGCTAGGTTGGCAGGAGCAGGGACTGAGCAACGGGAGCTCACCCCGTCGTGGGGATTCAAACCGCTGACCTTCTGATCTGCAAGTCTTGGGCTCTGTGGTTTAACCCACAGCACCACCCACATCCCTTGAAACATGTAGAGAGTGACAAAAGATTTTTGGTATTTTTAACAGTGTTATGAATTTAACACATAATAAAATCTGAATATAGTATAGCTGCACCACACCTGGGGGCAAAGCATATAAGCAACACTGAATATAGTCAAAGTTTACCTGACTGCTAGCAAAGGGGGGTGTCTCTTAACTGCCTTCCCTTCCTTTCTCTCTCCCCAATGCAAAGGAAGGCGGCTGCCAGAGCCAAGTGAGTTTAATTGAATTCATGCAAGTGATGCGCCTACACTGCACAGAATTAGAAGACAGCAGTGGGGTACATGGACTGAAGACTGGATTTCATCTCAAAACCAAGTAAGGTGGACAAACCTTGGTCACAATGTATGACTTGTCTGCACAGAGTTAAAGCACGAGTCTGGTTGGGATGACATGGCTTAGGTCAGCGCAGGAGCAGACACAGCTTCTTCACCAGGAGCTCATACATTTGCATTAGGCTACAGTTTGGCTTAATTTTATATGTGAACCAGACCAAAATAAATACATATCTATAAAAGAACTGCTACTTCATTAGGGTGGGAGCCAAAGAACGTTACTCATGAGTGGGTTTCATGAAAGTCAGTATGAAACAATAGTCAACACGACTAACTTCATTATTCTGCTCTGTGGGACTTGATTACAACTTAGTCTGGTTCCAACTTATCTTTATTAGCCTGATTAAAAATAGTGAAACCTCAAAACAGGATTAAAATTGTACACCACTTCATAACTCACCCATGGTTTTATTTTCAGTACTGCTGTTCAAGAGTAAAACATATCCCAACCCGGATCGGGGTGGTGAACAAGCCCCTTGCCATACTTGAAGAGGAACACCACAAATTATGATCACGCAGGATTTTATGAAATACCACCACCACTGATTTCACACATGCTACATGATATATAACGTATTAGAAGCACATACTCCTGAATTAGCAGCTCACATATATGTACATACCACTGTTTGACATCTGAAACAGATTATTCTTTTCAAACTTCTTGAAAACGCTTCCTTTAATTTCAACAAACTGCGATTTAAAGAAAGTAACACTCTTATACTTCTAATTTTTTTTAAAAAAAAACATTTTCTACAAAATATGTTGACTGAGAACATATAAATCATTTAACAGAAGTACTGTCACACATCATAGTTGCCAAAGCCAGTGAGGCAAATATATCTATAAAACACTTACATTGTTAGACATCATGATAGTAAGAAGTGACTTGTTGTGCGAGTTGAAGGCTACATTGAGCGTCGTTGCTTGGACCATTATAAGGATAGCATGCAAGACTGTAGTCATATATGTTAAGGTAAATGCTTTTTAGAAGAAAATATTAAATTGCAATATATACAGTCATACCTCGGGTTGAAGTAGCTTCAGGGTAAGTATTTTCGGGTTGTGCACTGCGGCGACCCGAAAGTAACGGAGCACGTTACTTCCGGGTTTTGCTGCTCGCGCATGCGCAGACGGTCAAAATGATGTCACGCGCATGCGTGGAAGCGGCGAATCGCGACACATGCGGATGCGGGTTGCGTTCGCTTCTGGATGCGAATGGGGCTCCGGAACGGATCGCGTTCACATCCAGAGGTACCGCTGTATTACACTAAGTTTTAAGATACCAAAGCAGACTTTTAAGTATCATTGTGCTATACCAGGCATAGTTAAACTTGGCCCTCCAGATGTTTTGGGACTACAACTCCCATCATCCCTGACCACTGGTCCTGTTAGCTAGGGATGATGGGAGTTGTAGTTCCAAAACAGCTGGAGGGCCGAGTTTGCCTATGCCTGTGCTATACTATGGAGTAGCTTGCTGATAAACATGCAGTTATATTAACCATGTCCATTGCATGATTTTAAGCATTCCAAGAGAAGGTTCCACAATTACTTGTACTGCTTTGCTACCACTATCCCTGAGAGACGTGGGTGTGCATGCCCTACAAATATTTGTTATCCATTTGGTAATGTAGTGAACCACTTTGGTTTTTCTTCTCCAGACAAAATACAACTCTGGGTTTAGGTTTGACAATAAACACAACCATGGCTCAGCTCTAGGTAGCATAGCAGCAGCAGGGCCAGGGAAGGAAATAAGTAGCTGCCATTTTTCCTCCCAGCACCTGCACGCTGGCTCCTTGGTTTAGCCATGGTTTAGCTAAGAGTTAATGCAAGCCAGGCCAGGGGCAAGCATTAAAAGCAAGGTTAGCAGGAAAAACATGAAATGTGGACAAGGCAGGATATCAACAAGGTTTGTTCTTGGCTATAGTTTGTGGTAAGTGGACAGCTTAAGCACAAGTTCTGCATGGCTGGACTGAGGAGTTCTCCTTAGTTAATTCTTGCCCAATAGAAGGTTTTTAATTTACTTTTTAAAAAAAAAAAATCCAGTTTTAGTTCTTACATTAATTAAGATGAAGATTCTGACACAGAACTTTGAATAGGTTTGTAGATAAAACGTAATGGTCCTCAAATCCATGCATTTTAAATACTATTTTAGCATTCATAGAGATGAAAATGAACTGCAATTCTGACACAAAAGGATACAGACGTACAGCACCGCCATGAAAAAATGGGGAATCACACCTATGTGTGCCCTTTTTCTCTCCTTTGGTTCTGTAGCTGTCCAGTAAAGAGCATCCAAAATATCTTGACCAAAAGATGAAAACAAACGATCAGCTACCTAGAAAGAGAGAGAGAGAGAGAAAATACACCAAGGAAGTATAAATCAAGATAGTTTAATTTTGTCAGCTATGTTCCTCTTAAACAAAGGTAACAGAGCTTATTTTTCCATTAATTACTGCATACTCTTAACATGTCAGTGTCCAACACGAAATACAAACAGGATATTCAAAACCAAGTTAGCTACAATTTTTGTTTTCAAAGTTTCTACTTCCAAGTAGCTTTCCCTTCAACATCTGCAAAGTATCCTTGCTGCTGACTGGCCATGGAATGCCTGTGTGTTGTAGAAGTTTTACAATTCTGCTTCAAGCACAAAGTCACCTTATGTGGAGCATTGGCCAGACCTATCAGATTCCACCATTAACCTGTGTGAACAAAACAGTGCAACCCAGAACCTTTGGGGTTCTACATTGCAGGGAACAATTGGTAATGGTCAATAAATGTCATTCAGAGATTATTCTTTCCCCTGAGAAGTCCCTGATAGTCTTCTAAGAAACTAGAGTTCCACGGAATGCTGTTTGAAGCCACATCATTAAAAGGATGCAGAAGTATTTGTGCACCCTCCAATTAATGTTTTTAAATTCAACCTGAAGAGCTAAATTGTGGAGCAGAAAATGCCATATACAGTGGTACCTCGGGTTACATACGCTTCAGGTTACATACGCTTCAGGTTACAGACTCCGCTAACCCAGAAATAGTGCTTCAGGTTAAGAACTTTGCTTCAGGATGAGAACAGAAATTGTGCTCCGGCGGCGCAGCAGCAGCAGGAGGCCCCATTAGCTAAAATGGTGCTTCAGGTTAAGAACAGTTTCAGGTTAAGTACGGACCTCTGAAACGAATTAAGTACTTAACCCGAGGTACCACTGTATTGATAATATAAACTGACTGCACATGTTAGTTCCCCCTATAGGGCAAGAGCAAAACTGCTGGAATGTCACGTCACTGCAGCTGTGGAAATGGAACTATGAATGTCTGGTCAGAGGGCTGATACAGTGCAGAAAATACTCTCAAGAAAAAAGAAGATGCCAAAGAACCCCAAGAGCAGTCATGGGGAGAAAAGGAGGCACCCTAAGAAAGAAATCTGGAGTGAGCCCTGAAATGCAAAATGGGGCCTGGGGGAAGATGAACAAGAGGCAGCAGATGGATGGGAAGGAAAGACGTGTAGGACTCTGCACTGCCCACACCCATCCCAAGCAGGAGAAGGAGAAAAAATTTGGATCATCTTCCCAGATAGGAAGCAAAGACACTGTGCCATGTGCCTGGCCTGTCAGAATTCAGCCTGGCGCTGTACGATTTGCCTGCTTGTTTGTACCTGCAGTGCTTTTGCAAGAGAGTCTCTACCGAGATGGAGCATCCAGGCCTGACTCAGCAGTTTCCAGCCATCAGACACTCGTCACCCGATTTCAACAGCTTTCTGGTGGCAGGAGCTTAACAGGACCACTGGGGCGCAGTTTTAAGAGCTCTTTCAGGAAGAAAATGGGCAAGAGCACCACTACCACGCTTTTCAACATCTATATGCAGCCGCTGGGAGAGATCATCAGGGGGTTTGGGCTGGGTGTCCATCAATATGCAGATGATACCCAGCTCTACCTCTCTTTTAAATCAGAACCGGTGAAGGCGGTGAAGGTCCTGTGTGAGTGTCTGGAGGCGGTTGGAGGATGGATGGTGGCTAACAGATTGAGGTTGAATCCTGACAAGACAGAACTACTGTTTTGGGGGGACAGTAGGTGGGCGGATGTGGAGGACTCCCTGGTTCTGAATGGGGTAACTGTGCCCCTGAAGGACCAGGTGCGCAGCCTGGGAGTCATTTTGCGCTCACAGCTGTCCATGGAGGTACAGGTCAATTCTGTGTCCAAGGCAGCTGTTTACCAGCTTCGTCTGGTGCGCAAGCTGAGACCCTATCTGCCCGCAGACTGCCTCGCCAGAATAGTGCATGCTCTGGTTATTTCCCGCTTGGACTACTGCAATGCACTCTATGTGGGGCTACCTTTGAAGGTGACCCGGAAACTACAACTAATCCAGAATGGAGCAGCTAGACTGGTGACTGGGAGTGGCCGCCGAGACCACATAACACTGGTCTTGAAAGACCTACATTGGCTCCCAGTACGTTTCTGAGCACAATACAAACTGTTGGTGCTGACCTTTAAAGCCCTAAATGGCCTTGGTCCAGTATATCTGAAGGAGCATCTCCCTTCTGGCGGTTCCCTCCCTGCGAGAAGCCAAATTACAGGGAACCAGGCAGAGAGCCTTCTCGGTAGTGGCACCCGCCCTGTGGAACGCCCTCCCACCAGATGTCAAAGAGATAAACAACTACCAAACTTTTAGAAGACATCTGAAGGCAGCCTGGTTTAGGGAAGCTTTTAATGTTTGATGTATGACTGTATTTTAATATTTGGTTGGAAGCCGCCCAGAGTGGCTGGGGAAGCCCAGCCAGATGGGCGGGGTATAATTATTATTATTATTATTATCCTTTCAATTTTGCTTGATGCGTGTGTGTGTGTGTGTGTGTGTGTGTGTGTGCGCGCACATGAGTTTGTTTGGCTCCTTGCTGATCTTCTACACCCTCACTGATGTGAGAAATATTCATTAAGCATGAACATTTCCTAAATGATCAAAATCTAGAAGGCAAATATAATGGGTGATATCCACCTACATCATACTCAGAGTAGACTCACTAAAATCTATTAGTTCATATTTCACATTAACCTTTAATTATTTTAAGGTCCAATTCTGATTTTTTAACATTTCTAATTAGCAATTCTATGGCTCTTTGTCACTTCAGCTAGCTGGAAGCCCCACCTGATGAAGGGGCTCCCATGGTTTCCAGTATGCACAAGGTGCAGAGTTAAGGCATACATCATCAAATGCGAACAAAGAGCTTCCCTACTGCAAAAAGTGTGAACCATCCTCTCTAGATCCAGGTACAAAAATTCACAGGGTTGCAGGTAGGCTTTGAACCATGCAGGGATCAAATGGAAACCCTGGTTATATGAACTGGCACCTCAAACTGAAGGATGGATCCACTGTGCTTTATACAACTGTGAGTTCTCCTACCAATGTTCAAGCACTATTTGGACTTGACAGAATATTATCCTGGCTTAAAGTTACGAAAAATAGTGAAAAAACCAACTTTTGCTTTTGAACTGTGATATAAGAATTAGTGAACCCAGGTGTATATTTTTATTATTTTAATAATGTTTCAATGTTTCACTTTAATTGCATTTAACCTTTTAGAATGTATTCGGCTTGATTTTTTTGTGTTCTGCATTTGTGAGTTTCTCCTTCCTACGCTGCATTCCATCTCTCCTTATCTACTCATGAAAGTGGTAAAAACGGCAAGATATTTTAACAGCAGTGTTAATCAGCTATCCATGAAGCTATCTGAGACCCAGGATTTTATGATGCTCCTCCCTCCCACTGATGGTTAGGTTGCTAGGGTAATGCCAGACATCCAAGACCGAAAATGGTCAAATGGCCTCACCACTGCAAGGTGATTGTGGGGGTGAACGTACCAGTATGGAGCCATGCATGCTTTGCTTTTCATGACCTGTAACCTTTCCTGATGTACATGAAGATGTTTTATGACTTGTTTGATTTTTGAACAACTATATAAGCCTTTGTTCTGAAGTGCCTCGGGACAGACCTTCTCAGGTCAACTGGCATGTTGAATTGAGTGAGCTCTGTCCCGTTGCAATAGCTATAATGAACGTTGGGGGCTTCCTGGTTGCTGGACTCAAATTAGTCTCCTTGGTTCTGTGGTTTATTCAAAAGATGGTTGTTCCTCACCTTGGTAACGAACAAGGTTGTATAGATGTGAATTCTTACCACAACTGGAAAATACAGAAGTGACAAAATGAAAGAACAGCTTGGTCCAGTGAGAAACATCCTCCGTGTACAAATTATGTACAGTGGTGCCTCGCAAGACGAAAAGAATCCGTTCTGGGAGTCTCTTCGTCTAGCGGTTTTTTCGTCTTGCGAAGCAAGCCCATTGACGGATTAGCGGATTAGCGCTATTAGCAGCTTTTAGCGGCTTTTAGCAGCTTATCAGCTTATCGGATAACCAGATAAGCGGCTTAGCGACTTAGAAAAAGAGGGGGAAAAGGAAAAAAAAACACCAGGAACTCGCAAGACATTTTCGTCTTGCGAAGCAAGCCCATAGCAGATTCGTTTTGCGAGGCACCTCCAAAACGGAAAACTCTTTCGTCTAGCGAGTTTTCCGTCTTGCGAGGCATTCGTCTTGTGGGGCACCACTGTACGTTATGTACAAACAGTAAATTATTCAAGGCCTTCCAGTTTCATATATTTGTAAGTGTGCCTTTCTGCATACAAAAGCATATTTTAAGTGTTATCCTCCCCTCTATACTCTATTGGTATTGCCTATGATTTAGGTTGGTTCAATGAAACCCTCAACAAAAGTAATTTCCCCCCCTAAACAACAAAGTAAGTTCAATCTCTTCCAGCTCGTTCTTTCTCTTATTTGGGGAAAAACCAAATTTAGTATAATAGCCCTAAAGTATATTGTGTGGTTTTTTTAAAAATAGTCTCTAAAAAAATTAATTTTAATAGGACTCTAAATGCTTAGATGCCACACAATAGCGCCCCTCTCTTTAAACTGGACTTACCTAAACCCTACATTCCGGCTCCAGACTCCAGAAGAATTCCATGATGGGGCTATGTCACTAGTATTATGTACATTGGGAGTTCATAAAGGAGCAGGAGCCGGGAGACATGAATCTAAAAACAAAAACAAAATGTCATTTGTGGGCATTCAGCAAATGCCTACATTACTGGAAAGATCTGGAAAGAGCTCACTCAAAAAATCTGTTGTTTGTTTTTTTTTAAAGAAGTGGTTTTTTTGAGGGGGGAATCTTTGGGTGTTCAGTTTGCGTGGATGGAAGAATGAAGACGCACATTTCTATTTATGGGGCAAATATAACAAATACATAATCGGCCCAGTGTGCACCTCTTGGTAAAGGTAAAGGGACCCCTGACCATTAGGTCCAGTCGTGGCCGACTCTGGGGTTGCGGCGCTCATCTCGCTTTATTGGCCGAGGGAGCCAGCGTACAGCTTCCGGGTCATGTGGCCAGCATACTAAGCCGCTTCTGGCAGACCAGAGCAGCACATGGAAACACCGTTTACCTTCCCGCTGGAGCGATACCTATTTATCTCCTTGCACTTTGAAGTGCTTTTGAACTGCTAGGTGGGCAGGAGTTGGGACCAAGCAACAGGAGCTCACTCCATCGTGGGGATTCGAACTGCCAACCTTCTGATCAGCAAGTCCCAGGCTCTGTGATTTAACCCACAGCGCCACCCGCGTCCCAGCACCTCTTGGTAACTGACAGTTAATGGTTTACCATGAATGTGGAGATTGCTCCCACTTTGCTCCTTCCCTCGTCAGTGGAAGCAACAAACCATGATCTACAGCATAGTGTCACATCTATCCCAATTACTGTAGCTTCACCCAAAGAAACCATGATTGGTAAGCGATGAACAAACCATTGCTTAACATGACAGTTTCAGAGCCTCCAAGTGTCCCTACCTTGCAGGGACAGTCCTGAATTTACAAAAGCCATCCCGGTTTCTGATTTGATCCCAGAATGTCCCACTTTTCCTTAGAATGTCCCTATTTTCATTGGAGAAATGCTGGAGGGAAAATTTCTATTTTCATTGGAGGAATGTTGGAGGGTATGCAGTTTGAAGAAAAATAAATCACGAGCTCCAGTTCAGATATAAACCTAAGCCAGGCAACCATCATCTGTTGCTCTTGCTGGTTAGAGAAGTGGAGTGAAATGGGAGCCAAGTGACTGGCAGAAACTCTCCAGGATTTCAGAGAGGAGTCTTTCCCAGCACTACCTGGAGATGTCAAATTGTATCTGGGACCTTCCGCATGCAAAGCAAATGCTGGCATGGCTTCGGCAAAGGCTAAGTCCTGTCTGACAAACCTTTCAGAGTGTCAACATACATATAGTGTTGATCCCGTCAACATTGTCAAAAGCTTTTTGACAATCAAAGTACCCAAAGTACCTCACCAAAAATTCCTGAGTACGCTTAGCAGTCATAGAAGAGAGGTTCTCCTGTGGATTATTAGTAACTGGCAAAGAAACAGAAGGCAAAGGGTAGGAAAAAAATGGAGTTTTCCCAATGGAGGGATGTAGAAACTGGAGTTCCCCCAAGAATTGGAACTTGGACCTGTGCTTTTTTAAATAGCCCATTAATGATTTAGTGTTGGAATGAGCAGTGAGTTAGCCATGTCTGCTGATGATACCACATTGTTTAGGGTGGTGAGAACAACAGGGATTGAGATGAGCTTCAAAAATATCTCTTCTAACTGGCTGAAAGGGATCATTATTTGGAATCATTAAGAAAGGGATTAAAAACGAAAATGCCAGTATCATAATGCTGTCGCAAGAATCTATGGCAAGACTACACTTGGAATACTGTGTTGCCACATCTCAAGAAGGTAACCGAAGAATCAAGGGGTTGGAGCAACTCCCCTACAAGGGACTTTTTAGTTTAGAAATAAGCCAAGTAAATGGAGACGTGATAGAGATGCATAATATCATGCATGATGTAGAGAATGTAGACAGGGAGAAGTTTTTGTCCCTCTCTCGTACTAAACATACTGGAGAACTGGGCCGATATGAATTTCAATAGGGACAAATGTAAGGTTCTACACTAGGAAGGAATAATCCGCTGCACAAATATAAGATGGGGACACCTGGCTTGACAGTAGTATATGTGAAAATGATCTAGGGGTCTTAGTAGACCACAAGCTTAAATGAATCAACAGTGTGATGCAGCAGCAAAAAGGCTAATGCTACTCTAGGCTGCATCAAAAGAAGTATAGTGTCCAGATCAAGGAAAGTAATAGTACCACTCTATTCTGCTTTGGTCAGACCACACCTGAAGTACTGTGTCCAGTTCTGGGTGCCACAATTTAAGGAGGATATTGACAAGCCGGAACATGTGGAGAGGAGCGCGAGCAAGATGATCCAGGGTCTTAATGTTTAGCCTGGAGAAGAGAACACTGAGAGAAGATACGATAGCCATCTTCAAACAGAAAGCTGCAAAGTCGAGGGACTTTGAAAAGCAGCTTGCTTTTTCACATGTAGGTCTACTATTCATAGAAATCAAAGTCTAAGTTTCTTCAAACATGTCCAACTTCTGAGACACATGTGAAGTAATTCTTGAGATACCTACCATTTTTTTATAAAACTCCTAAAATTGGTTGGGACTGTATCTATTACTATGTTTATTACTGTGTTAAACATACACCATACTTTTGTGAGAGTTGCTCTTTTAAAACCCATTACAAACAAGCTGCTTACAAATACTAAAAAAAACTATAGCATCCACAATACAACTTATTGCTTATCGTTGTTGAAGAAAAATGGATCTTTGTCCCATAACAGGGCAGAAAATATATTACAGAATTACCATAATTCTTTTACCAACTTTGAAATTGTTCCATCTGGAATATTCAGGAAGGAAGCATGTTTTGACATTTCTAATGGCAATTTGCTTACCTCAAGCATATTATAGATGATGTAGAGTTTAATGACAGACTGTCCTCTGATCAGGTGGTACATCATGGAATAGTCAACATAGTGCATCATGAAGTAGCAGATTAGCAATATAACTCCTTTGAAAATATCACACACCTGAGCGGGCTGCAGCAAGCGTCTATCACTGAAATATAGAAAGTACACAAAACAAATAGCACAATTGTAAACAATAGCCACATATTAAATATGTTTTTCAAAAGTACATAATAAAAGCACCAGAGCCATTCAACACAAAGCATTTGTACTGAATGGTATGTTTTCTATTGTAACAACAAATGCTTAAATTGCTGCTGGTTTTCCCCCGCCCCCAGTCAATCTAGAACTAATGATTCACACCTAACTCCTTGGGTGAGGGTCACTCAGGACTTAAAAAACGATACTGAAAGTAATTTGCAAGAGGAGAGCAGGCAACCTGTTTTGCTGGAAGCAGAATACCTCCTTTCTGAGTTCAAAAAGATCATCATTCCAAGAAGTAACCCATAATAGTCTATTACTATTAATTAAATTAATTAATTGGCAAACCAGTGAAGCTAGGCCAGGCTTGGTGTAATCTGCCCAAACTGTCTTGCCCCCATGAGCAACCTGGCCGCTAAATTCTGTACTGGATGAACTGTCCGAACTGTCTTCAGAGGCAGTCCCACCTTGCAACCTTTAATCTAACCTTACAGGTTAGATAACTTTACAGGTGGCACAGAATCCCACCAATCACTGCCCACTTCCCCCTGGATCCTCTTCCCCACCTGCCTGCTCTGCTCACTCAGACTCCTGTCTGTTCCTAACAGTAATTTATTCTGGATTTTAAAACAAAAATGTAGGTTTATTTCGTGAGATGGAAATGTGAACAGCAAACAGAAATTTGTTTATGGCATTTTTATGGCTTTGTGTTTGGAACGCTCAAAGAAATGTAGGGACATTTGTAGGCAAAAAGCTTTGGAAATTAATTGTTTTAAGGAGAAACATGAAGTAATGCAGAGATTTTTTAAAAATCTGCACATGTTGCTGTTTGTCTCCTACAAATTAAACCAAATTAAATTAATGTGATTTGGTTTGTGGTTTCCTAATTTTTAAAACTTCTTGCTCCATTTATTTTGGGAAACTGTAAAAGTTGAACTCTTGAGGAAAACCATGTGGCTTCAACAGAGGGACTGTGGTTACCGATTAAGTAACAAGCCAGAATTTTAAACCAACTACAAAACCATGAGTCAAGATCCAAGATTGCTTTGAAGGTGGAACAAGGTTTGGTTGAAATGGGAAATGAAGTTCATTTGGTTTAACAGCCAAACAACATATGATTGCTTCATTACTTGAGAGCATCTTACATTGCAATCAGGCATGCTGCAAACGGTGTAGAAAGGGGGATATATGCACAGGCAAAATGACAATTCATATCTCGCTTTATCGAACTTGAGGTACAATTGTCTGAATGTGGCCATCATGTGCTTTAAATTGCCTGAACTATAGAAGAAAATGGATCATACTGATAACAGGGCAGCTACACAATCTATCAAAAGTATATTGTACTGTCAGCATTAACTCAGAAGATGTGTGAATACATTTTGATGAAGAATAATTAAACCCTGAAATCTGACTCTGGTTACATATTGGTAAAAAAATGTTTTGTAAAGCCAAGATTTACTGAAATAGTAATTTTACAAAATATTCAGAGGCATAAACATGTGATTAATTATTTTTTCTCTAAATGCTCAAGATTACTCCAATGCAAGATTAGCCTGTAGCACACAAGAATTGCTATAATCTCAGATCCTCATACAGAATAATTCTTGTTTCAGTCCAAACTCAAATAAATTACAGAAAATGTTTTCAAGCTTCAGGACCTTTTCTTGACAATTTAGAAGTTTTTGTTAGTGTTCTGAATGACAGTGGGTAACTATACCAGTGCTCCCAGGTTCACCCTGGCTTCCTATTTTCTCCAGAGCATTTTCAGGTTACAAGCATAACAAAAAGTCAAGCTCTTCTAAGAGTTAAACTAGACACAACGTAGTATAGCCCCAATCACCTAGACAAGGGTGAGTGGTCAGTCTGATTTTAACTGTACTAAACTCTTCCTTCCTTCAACCAAAAGGGGAGCAAAATTCTTTCTCCATCTTACTTTGCCACAATTACTCTCCCCAAGTGCACTTATTCTCAGCTGAGCTCCAATATTGGAAGTTAACGCAGCTAAGGCAAAATTACTTGCAGAGAAGGAGTCTGCCACACCCTTCCTGATGTCTTTTTCATTTTAAGCCCTCCATTCTTCTCTGTGTGATTAGGGTAGATTGTGTTCTCTCACACACAAAGTTGCTACTATGACATTTAGGTGGGCTCCAACCTCTACCACCAATCTCCAAAAATTACCAAAAGTCCCACCAACTGGTTACCGATTAAGAGCAACTAGAGCATGCAAAGGAGAGTGACCAATGGCTATTCAGCTCAAATTGTCCCTAGACAAAGGTGAGCCATTTCCATAAAATCTGCAAGGTCTTTTCTACCTGAGCACAACACTTTAAAAAACTGCCTGATGTTTGTCAGATTGGTACATTTCAAAGAAGCTTTGTAATGTATATCAGAATTTCCAAAGAGTAAAGATAGCATTCCAGACAGATTGCACTTAAAAGCTACCTTTATTATGCACTGTAAATTCTGAATCTGTTTCACATAATCAAAGTACTGACTCCATCTGCTGGTTAAGAAAAATACCTACATAGGCAACGATGACCAAAAACAAGATTAACACGAGCATACCTTATGCCTGTACCTTGGTTTACAACCATAATCCGTTCCGGAGGTCCAGTTGTAAACCAAAACAGATTGTAACCCAAGGTGCACTTTTGCCAATGCCCCCCAAATGGGTTGTAATCCAAAAAAAGGGACACACACTTCCGGGTTTGACGTGGTTGTAATCCAAAATGGTTGTAATCCAAAGCGGTTGCAAACCAAGGTACCACTGTACTGAAAAAGCTTCAGGATCATACTTCACGGGATAAGCCCAGTGGTTCTCAAACTTTTCTCAGGGCCACACTTTCAGAATAAAAATTTGACTGCGCCACACTGAATTTTTTATTGATAAAAATACACTGAAAAACAGTAAGAATCAACTCCTAGCAGTACTCGATTTTATAATACTGCTTCTTATGCAGTTTATGTTCTTATGCAGCTACATAAGAACAGGAATAATTTCCAAAATATAAATGAGCCTCTTAAATATGTATGCAAACTCAATGAGAGGTGTGAGCTTGTTTTTGCCGAGTAATCTCATTTATATTATGTCTAATTTATGACAAATGCTCATCTCCCTCATGAACACAAAGAAGCCTTTCTCTTTTCTGAACTTTCATATTTGTCAGAAGAAAATCCTTGTTCACAAGAATATGTCGTAGAACAGCCAATGCTCTTGAAGAGAGGAGTGGATACTGCTTCTGTTGTTTATCCATACTACACAGAAATGTTTGCTTGTCCTTGAATCTTCCTGCCACACTTGCCATCCTCTCCTGCCATACCCTTTTTGAACCACTGAATTATCCTATGTCAAACAATTATCCCATGAAGAGTTATCAAAATTCTGCAATACTGCACATCCTAAATCTACTTCTGAAACATGCCTTCCGCTGAATGTATTTAGGGTCAACAGAAGTGTTTCCTGCTTTGATTGTATGTGTCAGTAAATACTGTACACACAAAGGCTGCCTCACTTGGCAGTGCTCAAAGTATAATAGTGGATCAGGAGTAGCCCTTCAGATGTTACTGCACTACAATTCCCATCATCCCTGATCAAGCAACATGCTGCCATGAGGCAACGGGAGTTGTAAAGGTAAAGGGACCCCTGACCATTAGGTCCAGTCGTGGCCGACTCTGGGGTTGCGGAGCTCATCTCGCTTTATTGGCCGAGGGAGCCGGCATACAGCTTCCGGGTCATGTGGCCAGCATGACTAAGCCGCTTCTGGCGAACCAGAGCAGCGCACGGAAATGCCGTTTACCTTCCTGCCGGAGCCTATTTATCTACTTGCACTTTGGCGTGCTTTCGAACTGCTAGGTTGGCAGGAGCAGGGACCAAGCAATGGGAGCTCACCCTGTCGCGGGGATTCAAACCGCCGACCTTCTGATCAGCAAGTCCTAGGCTTCGTGGTTTAACCCACAGCGCCACCCGCGTCCCAATGGGAGTTGTAGTCCAATAATGTTTGTAGGGCACCACATTGGCTTCCCCTTACCCAGATGATTCACAAATTGGGTGGAATTTCACGTTACACTCTTCCAATTGTTCCTTCATTTATGCTAAAAAAAAACCCTCCTTCCACTCATCTCTTCTCAGCGTTCTCCTGACTCTCCAGGAGCACATGTGGCGAAGTGCAAGAGGGAAGGAGAGAAGCCCTACTGCACCAGCAGGAACCCTTGGGCTGTCTTAATGGAATCCAGGCCACTGTTTTCAGTTATAACCGAAGTTTTTAAGAGCACTCCAAAAAATGTAATATGTGAATGAGACCCATTTGGAAACGCAGGCATCACTCAGATGCACTTAGAGAGCCAAGCTACTTCAAAGCATGCATTTTGTGTAAGAAGTATTATTTAAAAGAAGCTAAACTTCCGTAATGTGTTTGCTTGTAGCTTGATCAACAGCAAAAACTACATGCGCACAGATAGCACAACAGCATGCTAAGAAGAAAAAAAATCAACACCAACCTCATCCTTAGGCCTCGGTGAGAGCTGTCTCAAAACAAACAAGGTGAAATCAGAAATGGGAAGACGATTAATAAGATTTCAAAACACTTTCCCTAAAGAAATTTATCTTAAAATTGAATTGAGTGAGGTACTTTTCATGAGATATTTTAGTATCTATTGTTTTCATTCATCCCTGTATCTTAGCATGCACATTACTGACTTTATGTTTGTGTACGTGAGAGAGAGGGGGAGAAAGTAAAAGTCACATCTGGGCAGTGTAAACCATGGTTTACAAATCCAGAAATGTATGCTCCAACCCACAAACCCTTCTTTTCATACCAGTTTTGGCATTTCATCCCTGTTTTAGATTAAGCCAGACTTCCCTCCTTTGTCCAAACCAGGGAACTCTGTCTTAATTCCTGTTTAAAGGTAAAAGGACTCCTGACCATTAGGTCCAGTCGTGGCCGACTCTGGGGTTGCGACGCTCATCTCGCTTTATTGGCCGAGGGAGCCGGCGTACAGCTTCCAGGTCATGTGGCCAGCATGACTTAAGTCGCTTCTGGCGAACCAGAGCAGTGCACGGAAACACCGTTTACCTTCCCGCCGGAGCGGTACCTATTTATCTACTTGCACTTTGACGTGCTTTCGAACTGCTAGGTTGGCAGGAGCAGGGACCGAGCAACGGGAGCTCACCCCATCGTGGGGATTCGAACCACCGACCTTCTGATCGGCAAGTCCTAGGCTCTGCGGTTTAACCCACAGCGCCACCCGCATCCCTAATTCCTGTTTAAGCACCCAGATAATCCTGATCCTACCTTATTATCCTGGTTGTTAACAGTTATTAAACCAAGCTGAGACTTTATTATGCAGTAAAGCAAGGACTACAGTATGAAGAACATTTGATATGCCCTGCACATCATTTTTAAAATTAAAACTGCTTTAGATACAGCTTATATCTGAACTATGTCTTGGATACAGAGGTGCTCTTGTGCGAACTGTAGGCAAGATGGTCCTTCAATTACTGAGGGCTTCCTCCTTCTACAGCAGCCCCCTTTGTCATGTCCAGTACTGGTCTCAGGGGGGCAAAACCCTCATGAGTGGCTTTTCATAGACAAAGGGGACTATAGCGGGGAGAAGAGGGTAAAAAAGCCCTATTAAGTGAGCAGAGTTCCACTTGCACAATGATATTTATCTTTCATAAGTAGCTAATACGGAATATTTTGAAACAAACCCATAGCATTCACAAAGTTTACTACTCACACACAAAAATGCTATTAGTCCTCCCTGCAATTGTTTGTGGCTCATGTGAAAGAAAAAAAAGAATAGAAAATTTGCCTGCCTGGTCTCTGGAGTTGATTTTTCACTTGCCACAGTTAACTTGACTAGTGGTCATTTACAAGCCTAGGATAACAATTCATTTGACAGCTCCTATTCATGGAAATTCGACTATTAAGATTTTCAGTGAAATAGGAAAAATTGCATGGCGTCTCTTAAAATTGACTGGACAATCTCATTTTAGATTTAATGTAAGAATGTACTCAAACTTAACAATTTATTTCATTATCCCTGGGTCTACTTTGGTCAGGAAATAGTTGAATACAACCCAGCAAAATTTATGAACAGAAGTGTGATGTTAATAATGTGATGTTGGCTTTTTAACAACATGACATACAAGTTTACAATTTATGGGGAGAAATCATTTTAGCTGATAATTTAGAAGAAAAATCAGGATATATACTCACCATGAAGGAGTCCCAAGTGACATCATATTCCATCCTATAAAGGAAGTGAAAGTGCTCTTCCCTTCAGTCTGATTTACAAGAAATAAAAGAGAAAGAGAGAGAAAGAAGGTTGTAATGTTGCTACACTAGGTACGTTGACCATCATGGAAAAGAGGGAAAGTGATTGAAAGCTTTATTTTCCCTCATGTAGCACATACAGATTGAAGCAGGAAAAGAGTGTTATTCTCTTTGAGATGAATGGAATGAATCATATCTGCCTAATTAAGAATTTTGGGATAATCAAGAATTTAACTCAGCAAAAAGGAATTAGATCAAATCTGCTATTGTCAAACTTCCAATATGAGACAAAAGAAAAAGGAAACAGAGAAGAAAGCCTGTATTTCTAAAAAGCTGGAATTAAAATTCGTGGAATTAAATCCATTGATGGTGTACATATTACCTACCAAAAGACTGAAAGCCCTATGGTCTCATATAAGGGGAATACAACAGTGCATATATTTATTTGTTAGTGAACACAAATTGATCCACAAAATGAGTTACATGAATTTATGCCTTTGGGATCACGCTGCAAACTTGGCAGAACATGTAGTCACAAATTACTTAAAATGTGGTAAGTTTGAAACAACAGGGAGGGAAATCTTAATGGAGGAGAAAGTATGTATTTCTCCAAAAGAAATAAAAGATATGGCAGTGGAAATCCACTATTTTCTGGTTACCAACGAAGGCTCAATTTGTGGCAAAAGCTATTGCTGTATTTAGCAGAATGTGCCCTGGACAGCGATAAATTTACCTTTGACAAAACTGCCGTAATCTGTGCTGAGCCCATCACATAGGGCACAACATAAATATTTAAGTTACGAACAAAGCTTTGCTTAAAAGATCACCTTCTAGGAGGAAGGCTACCCCAAGTTTGATTTAATGTTGCAGCCCTACATCAGCTGTGGGAGTGATGCAATAACACCTAACTTGGCTTTTCTTCCATGACTGCTGTTCTTTTGGGCAATGTTCCAAGTGCTACCTCAGGCCCCAGGCTTTGCTAGACCCAGATCTGCTATCTGGACCAGCAATGAGTGACATAGTCTCATTTGGCTTGCAGAAGTTGGGTGTACTGAGGCAGCATGACTGACACTCTGAAACTGTTCACCTGGAAATACTCAGGCATCAGAAGATACCAGTAAGTGTCCATTGCATGACTACAGAAGTACAAATTTTAATACAATTATTATTATTTTTAAAGTAATTAACCCTGTTAGCTAAACATCTTGCTCAAACAATCCAAAATTAACCTGGCAGTCTTGAAAGAACCCGCCCCCCTAAGATGCACAAGTACAAAAGAACAGGAAATAATCTTAGCTATGAAGAAATCGCCTTATTCTGTTTTTATCTAGTCCAAGAGTCTGGATGCAGAAACACAGCTATGCAATATTTGCACTTTACATGAATCGTGAGAACGTGGATGAGGATTAACCTCACAAAAGAAAAGGACTGCTATACTTTCAGAGCAATAAAGAATGGGAGAATAGAATCCCGTTTAAATCATTTCGAAGAGACTAGAATAAATGGAGTGTAAACAAAGGCTGGAGATATAGGATATTTAGTCTTTCTGCTGAGATCTTGAAAAAAAAAAACCAGAATGAAGGGAGGAGCACTTTTTGTTTTTACATAGAATGGAATATGATGTTGTGTCTATAGTCCTTAAAAACAGCTCAAACACACCAATGCCCACATAATACTGGAATATGATCTTAAATCTAATTATTTCAGTACTTTATTCCTCAGAATGTCATTTATTAACAGGCCTACATATATTTTTCTACAGCAATATTTTCACTGTTAAAAACATGCAATAATCAAGAAACTTGAAAACAGCCATTTTTTAACCATGGAAGACAAAATTTATAGTGCATTGTGGAATTAGGTGCTGAATAAAATGACCCAATTAAAGGATTTATTAAACAAGTTGCAAATTATACAGCATCAAAAATGTATTTGCAGCAAAATTCAAAAGGGACATTTCATTCTAAAAAAAGGAGCACATAACCTGATTCTTTGCACTGACAAGCTCAATGGGGAACTGATACCAATTTTGATGTTTCTGGATTGTACTCAAGCCTTTCAAAGAAGCTGGATATGCTGAAGTCTTAGCTTCTGACTTCAGTACCAGGTTTTTTCCAGTCCCCTACAACTGGTCTTAACAACAACAGCAACAATAAAACTAACTAACTAACAACTGAGTACAAGCACGCCAGACATGGGATACATGGTACATTCCCAATTGTATCATGAAGAATGTGAATGTTTATCGGCAAGACGATTAATTTATTAAGTGGGCAATACATGGTATGGTCTTTCTACAGACAGGACAGTTAATAAGATGGCCAGCACATCTCACAATGTTTTCAAGTTGGCTTGTTTCGAAGAAACTATAGTTAAAATTAACTACCATTTGATCATGTCTGGATGAGTTGACAAGTTGTTGTTAAGCAGAAACTATTACTACTTACCTTGTCAGAGGTGGTGTGATTATATGAGCCTGAGGCTTATAACAACTAACTCACATCACTCTACATTATGATTTAACCTGATGCTAAATAAAGATTGCTACCAGTATTTAGAGGTATTTGAATGGGTTTATTTTATAATCCTATTATTCTACATTATCAGAGATGCTAAATGATCCTTGGAACTAAGAGGACTATCCTGTAGCCTTCTCCTGAATGGTTTTTGACAAAATTACCCTGCAGGAATTTAAATAATGGAGTAAAATTCATAAGCTTTAACACTTCCGTTTAAATAAAGGGTATATTCCAGAGTAACATCCTGAGGTCCAGCACCGAGGGCCTTCTGACGGTTCCCTCACTGCGAGAAGCCAAGTTGCACGGAACCAGGCAGAGGGCCTTCTTGGTAGTGGCGCCCGCCCTGTGGAACGCCCTCCCACCAGATGTCAAAGAGAAAAACAACTACAGTGGTGCCCCGCAAGACGAATGCCTCGCAAGACGGAAAAACCGCTAGACGAAAGGGTTTTCCGTTTTGGAGTTGCTTCGCAGGACGAATTCCCCTATGGGCTTGCTTCGCAAGACGAAAATGTCTTGCGAGTCTTGAGATTTTTTTCGCTTTTCCCCCTTTATCTAATCTGCTACGCCTTTAATAGCCTTTAATAGCCTTGTAGGGGCTAATCCCGTAAGCCTGTAAGCCTTTAATAGCCGCTAAACCGCTAATAGCGCTAATCCGTTAAGCCGCTAATAGGGTTGCTTCGCAAGAGGAAAAAACCGCTAGACGAAGACTCTCGCGGAACGGATTAATTTCGTCTTGCGAGGCACCACTGTACCAGACTTTTAGAAGACATCTGAAGGGAGCCCTGTTTAGAGAAGCTTTTAATGTTTGACGGACTATTGTATTTTAGTATTTTGTTGAAAGCCGCCCAGAGCGGCTAGAGAAACCCAGCCAGATGGGTGGGGTATAAATAAATTGTTGTTGTTGTTGTTGTTGTTGTTGTTATCCACCTGCAAGCTACAAATTCGGTAGCTAAAAAAAAGACATGGTCAGTATTCAACAAAGTACCGTATTTTTCGCTCTATAAGACGCACCAGACCACAAGACGCACCTAGTTTTTGGAGGAGGAAAACAAGAAAAAAAATATTCTGAATCATAGAAGCCAGAACAGCAAGAGGGACCCCTGCGCAGTTCTGTTCTTGCTGTTCTGGCTTCTGGGATAGCTGCGCAGCCTGCATTCGCGCCATAAGACGCACACACATTTCCCCTTACTTTTTAGGAGGGAAAAAGTGAGCCTTATAGAGCAAAAAATACGGTAGTTCAATTAGCACAAGGATTTCTGTTAGTGCACTGAAACTTCCCCTTCCTCTCTGATCTCCATGTGCCCCTGTGCCCTCCGCAGATCTGCTTCAGAGGGTTGGGAGAACCCACAGAACAGATTTGGAGGGTGTGCAGTGAGCATGAGGAGAGCGAGAGAGGGCGAGAGTTGTGTTGTGCAGCAAAGAGTTCTTGCACTAACAGAACTACTTTTTTATGTATTTTGGTCCTTTTAGGAAAATCATTATAACTTAGTAAAACAAACCCTAGAAAATAAGGTTCCTGGCATGCCCTTAACAACAAATTCTGGGAGAGGATGTAGAATTTTTGAGCTAACTGCTATTCAAAACCACAACTGGGTGAGGCTCAAAAATGAATGTCAAGTGTTAGGATTATTTTTTGTTTGCTTTTTAGCATGAAACTGTTTGCAATTTCAAACCAGCTCAAGCCTTAAGACTGACAAAGTTAAATAGGCCAATTAAAGTATATTTAGATCAACTAAGTAAGAGAAATAAAGGAACTTACCGCAAGCCATAACAAGGTAATGTGATGAACCTGAACACTGCCAGAAAAACTCTCAATGGGAGGAGTGTGAACACATAGAGAAAAGCATCCAGGCACAAAAAAATCCCAAAAATCATCAACTAGAGAGTAAAAGGAAAGAGAAATCAGAGTAAAAACAGTTACTTTAAAGATTTCCATGCTGATCAGCATCACAATTCTAAGTCTATAAAATCACCCTTACCTTTACCCAAAAGTAATACACAGAAAGCACTTACACACCAAAGACCTTATTAGAACTGCCACAAATACAGAATGCAGAAATCCTCACAAAACCAACATCAGCCAACAAAAGAATAACCTAAATCTTTCTAAAGGTTTGGAAGAAAAACTATTTTTTTCACAATTTCCCTAAACCTAAATGTGTGACACCATGCCAGTAAAGTAGTGGCCATGATGTTATGAGATTGAAGCACTATTTGTTTAGTCTGGGAAACTTTATGGAACAATACACTGTGCACTTGGAAAGTGTTCAAGAAAATGTCTGCACTGTAAGAATCAGTCAAAGTTTGCAAACGTTCATGGCTCAATGAGTCCAATCTTTCCTCAATAGATGACCTATTCCTGGACACAATTTTAGATAATCAGCCCTGACCTTCCTTTCACATCATGGTGACTACAGTCTATCTGAAGTAGAGACAGGCAGCTTTTGCAGAAGTTATTTTAATTTTGAAAGTTGCCCCTCACATGGAACACTCTATGAAAAAATGTTCAGCTCTGCATACACCAGTATTTTTCAGTTTGTGAATTAGGGAATCCTGGGATTTCTCAATGAGAAATATAAGAAATCAAATACAGCTTTTCCGCTGTTGACATCCCATACAAGCCATCCATATAGTAGGCACCTTCCTAGGTTGATACACCTTCTTAGTTGATGCAGAATAACTATGAGGTCTAATGGGCCTGGCTAATGTCCCATGTGAACTGAAGGTGTTTTTTAGCCTGGAACATATGGCAAAACCATTTGTATTAAATAGATGTGGAAAACATTTCCTGAAGATAAGGAGGGTGAAAATAATTAGTTTATGGTTCACGTGTTATATGTTAATTATATAGTATGGAATTGTGTACAGTACTGTTAAATCATCTTTAAAATGACTTCTGAGTTATCACTTTAAAGGGTTTTTTAGGAACCCAGTAAAGGTAAAGGGACCCCTGACCATTAGGTCCAGTCGTGGCCGACTCTGGGGTTGCAGAGCTCATCTTGCTTTATTGGCCGAGGGAGCCGGCGTACAGCTTCCAGGTCATGTGGCCAGCATGACTAAGCCGCTTCTGATGAACCAGAGCAGCGCACGGAAACACCGTTTACCTTCCCGCCGGAGCAGTACTTATTTATCTACTTGCACTTTGACGTGCTTTCGAACTGCTAGGTTGGCAGAAGCAGGGACCGAGCAACGGGAGCTCACCCCATCGCGGGGATTTGAACCGCCGACCTTCTGATCGGCAAGTCCTAGGCTCTGCGGTTTGACCCACAGCGCCACCCGCGTCCCTCTAGAAACCCAGTAAGATTGATTAAATTAGATAAACATACTAATATCTAATTCCAATGTGTAAAAGTTATATTTAAAAAAAGAATCCCACCAACATATTCCTATTTTATTCCCACCAGCCAATATTAAGTTCAAGTCCCACTGTTTCAGTGACAGAACTAAGCAGATTCTTATGGGACATTTCGTAGTCTGCTTTGGAGTCTTCAAAGAAGTTCACCACACTGAAAAGATATAATAGTTCAGGGAGCTCAACTTGTCAAATAAAACTATCTGCCCCCCAATGTACTTTCTAGGAATTCTCTCAAGTGTTTGGGGGAGATTCAGGGGGAAGCCCTGTTGGGCGAGTGGAACTCCTTATTCAGGCTTCTGCTAGTGGGACTCCTTACCTGAATCCTGCCAACCGTTAACAACTTTATAGTTTAATAATAATAAATTTTATTTATACCCCACCATCCCCAGCCAAGACCGGGCTCAGGGCGGCTAACACCAGATATAAAACAATTGATTGAAATACAACTTAAAAAACAAGATTAAAATACAACATTAAAATGCAGCCTCATTTCAGCAGAAACTCAAAAACTTAAAATAAAGCACACATGAAAACCCCCCACAAACTTTTTGAAGCAGCAACGTGGGAAAATAGGAAGGTGCCTTAAACAGAGTCAGACCATTGGTCCATCTTGCTCAGGATCTAACTCTAGCACTTCAGAAAGGATGATGCAGGATGTAAGTGCTGTCATTGTTTTAGAACAGAAATGATGTTTATAGCACCTACATAAGGTTTACCCATGGAAATAAGTTTATAGATAAACCATTTACGAAGGGGTTCCCATTAGTGTGTCTCGTAGTCTCAAACAAGATCCACTCATAATGACTGGCATCTGCTGGCTTTTTTGCCAGGGGCAAGCCACTTTTAAAATTGAGCTACTGCTTTTCTCTTTGGCAGTGGAACTGCTGCAGAGAAAACAACAAGTGAAGCTCTGGCTGCACATGCTGTTCTCTTCAGTCCACACACCCTCTGGACACAAGCCTACACATTCAATTATGGTATCACCATACAAAAGACAAAGTGATGCTTTTGGACTCCATACATAAGACACAGCCCTCAGACAGTGTACAGGGAAAAAGTAATTTTTAAAATTATTTTTTGTAATTTAAAACCTATTCAAAAATGCATGTTTAGAAAGTTCTGTTATGTTTTTAATAAAACCAGAATTTGAATTTATCAGCCCAAGTAGAACGCTGAGAAAGTAGTTTACCTTTTCCAGCTCTCTTGGTATTCGCATGCACGTGTACACTCGTTCCCTCCTTTCTGTGTACTTCGCTTCATTATGTTCCAGGAAGTAACCCCTTGTAAGCTCTGCATTGATGAACCTCAATAGCGAAAGATCTGCAACAGAAGAGGGGAAATTTGTTTTAAAGCAAGTTGTACTTCAAAAAAAATAACTTTATTTTTTTCTAGGCTAAAATATTTGTTTTCCATGTTCAAAACATGTATTCCAAGAGTGGATGGGTTTAAATTAAGGTGGTTTAAATCAACATATTACCTATGACCACATAGTATCTTTTCAATGTTGCTTTCCACTTCACACCTGCTCCTTTTTCTCTCATGCTTGAGCCCAAAATCCTGCTCAAAGCCCAGACGCAGAGTAAGCCAGCAATCAAAATGTTTGCTCATTGCAGCCCATGCGGTTAGAGAAAACTAGGGACGGAGATTTTACAGAACTGATCAGCTGTCAGCTATGGTTTGGTGGTCAACTGCAAATGCCTCAGATGTAACGACAGACTATGGTTTGCCCAAATCAGGAAGTCAGAGAGGAAATTTGGACATGTGAAGAGATGCAAGAGGGAAAGGAGAGAACACCAGCATGATGATGGCCGAACCTTGGTTCAGAATTACAGTACAGTCCATACATAATACCAAACCATGGTTGTTCTCAATTTGTTATTCAATTTTAAGACATGATTAAATGTAGCTTTAACATTCCTGTATTTAGATTTAACTTTAATTACTTTCCATCCACCCACTTCAAACATCTACCCATATGAGCAACTTTTAAAGTGATTTTAGCTTTATTTTTTCATACAGATAGAATCAGAGAATAAAAAAAAAATTGTAGAAATGGAAGGGACCCCAAGGTCCAAAACCCTGCAATGCAAGACTAGACGATGCATCCTGCAATCTCTTTTGGAAATGGGAGTTCTAGTGTTTACACAGAGCTCTTTAAACAAGAATGGCATCCACATTTAATTCAGTGGATAAAAATTACCCATTTACGTTTTTCTTGACATGTTCATGAAGAAAATACTCCAAAGCCTCACATGAACTCCAGAACAAATTTAGAGTTCCAAATCCAGCTACTCATTCCGCATAAAACAATGGCCTAATGCCAAGTTAATGTGTAGCTGAAATGCAGACTTTGCAATTCATATTACACTCACTACACCTTACCACCCTATAGAGAGGAGTGGCAGTTTTAGCATTCTGCAAAACGCTACTCCCAGTTTGAAAGTTCATATATATATATATAAACGTGTGTGTATGTGCGTATACACACACACACCTGATAGATCAGCTCAGATTTGTTTATTTCTATCTAGTCATCAGACTAATAATAATAATAATAATTTATACCCCGCCCATCTGGCTGGGTTTCCCCAGCCACTCTGGGCGCCTTCCAATAGAATATTAAAAACAATAGAGTCAGATATTAAAAACAAAACTTTTAACAGTACAAAAGGAGCCAATTAAAAGCTATAAAAATCTGTTCTCGCTTAGATACCAGAATTTGTCTTCTGGTCCACTTACGTTATTTTGAGGAATGGGTTTACTGTACCCCTAAGATACTATTAGAAAAACTACAGTGTATCATATCATTATCTCTACAGAAAGAGGCCTCGTGAATAGAAAGTGGTAAGGATGACATAGGCCAACTGAGGCAGGGCTTATGTCACCCTCCCAAACCCTGGAGATGACAAAGAAGTCATTCCATACCTCCTTCCATTGACTTTGCACCATTTCCTTGTGCATGCACCCCAGTCTTACATGTCCCTGCTATTTCAGCTTGCCCTTACTATTGCTTGTTGTCTGCTCCAAAGGCACCCCTGAGACACACCTGAGATCACCTGGACAGTACCTCTGCCTTTCTGTCACATGTCTTTTGGCTCCTGTACCTTATCCACTTCATGCCAATGACTTGGGCTTCCCTCCTGTGACCACTCACATCTGAAATGATGGGCAAGAGCTGCCTATCACCTAACAGTCAATGTTAGCATCGAAAGCAGCTCAGCTATTTCAAAGTTTGCACTGTTTTACTAGAATTTGTAAGGCTTCAGAGACCACCTCTCTGGCATTGTCACTATGCCAATTTTGATAAACTCACACAGAAATTCAGGGCAATCGCCACACAAAGTGAAAACTGCTGCAGCTACATTCATGTTTATTGCCCCAATAAAGGCATTCGTGTTTATTGCCCCAAGGCTGCAGAATGATATCTCCTCTAAGGTGCATTATTTGCCCACTCTGTTTCCCAGAAGAAGGCAAAGCACATCTATTTCAGCTTGTCTTTTGCTTGACTGGTTATTCTTTTGGGGGTTTTAGACTGTTTGTTGTTTTTAATCCACTGCAGGTTTTGTATTCTGCTGAACCCTGGAAAAGTGGCTAGTAATTGTGCTTAATAAATATAATAGAACCACCAGAATCTTGAACTCTTTGTTTCAGAAGATACAGGGAAAAGTTGCACCAGTGCACCCGTTTTTATGTTTATTAAAAATATAATCTACCAACTAATAATTGCACTAATGCTTTATCCTCTTTGGTGGAAAAATATATGAAAAGTTCTCAAGATGACAGGCTCAAATCTAATTAAACTGTATTTACCTGATCCCAGAGAGCTCAGCAACTGTTGGCTCAATCCATTATAGACTATTTATTACTCCCTAGCTCAATTTCTGCTGCATGAGCCAAGAGCTATGCTCAGGAAACACAGATCATGCCATGTCATCTGCCTAGTAAACAAAATCGCTGCTGTTCTGAACCTAATTTTTTAAAAAAAGATTTAAAGAACAGAACTAACCTTTACAACCAAAAGCCACTGAAGTTCAACTGTGAAATCATTAGGTCAAGCACAAGTCAGGTAACCACAAACATACAAAAAATATTGGAGTGGGGAATCACTTTCTCTACTGTTAACCCTACAATGGGAACGAAACTGTTATTTGCAGAGAATGAACCTACTATCTGACAAGTAAGGAACTTAAATGCATATCTAAAATCTCTGAATACAGTATAAAGGTTCCAATTTTGGTTAAGTAACTTGTGTATTCTGGAACGTTTACAAAGTACAGCCAGCTTCAAATATTTGCACATGCATATGAACTGCAGTTTTTCCAAACAAAAGAAACAGGTATGATGCAATAAAAAAGGTTGGCTGCACAGGGGCATTTGTAACAGTCGTTGCATAAAGACAATAAACTGAACCATAACTTGGTGGGTTGTAAGCCACAAATGAGATCTCATTTCCTTGAATGAAGCTCTTTATGCAGGATGAGAAGGAAATGAGATCTCATTATTTCTTGTTTTGATCAAACCTTAGTTTCTTATTACATCTGAACACACTTATTACATCTGAACACACGAACTCTGGTTTGAGCTATCCCTTCAAGTCACAATCAAACCATGCTTTGCAATGCAGACTTGAAGCTCCAGAAGAGAGGAGGCAGTGTTTGAGATGATTGCTTATTTGGGATATTCCAGAGACAGATGGAAGACGTTCATCTGAATGAAGCCTCTACTTGGCTGGACTTCCGGGTTAGCGCCTCCGGCAATGGCGGAATTCCTCTGATCGGGAGGAATCCGCTCCGTGGAAATCAGGGTCTGGCCGCCACGGCGAAGGCGGAGACCCATTAAAAACCACAGGCGGGAGAAGCCTGTGGACATGGGATTCGGCTGGCACCTTTTGCGCCTCCCCTACTCGCAGGGAAACCCGGTTTCAGGGATCCGGAGCGACGTGGGGTGAGCGGCGCGGTGCTTCAAATCGACTGCTTCTTTCACGGAGTGAAGCCGCATTGCCGTTGCCGGAGAGCGCTTTTTCCTGTGGACAATTGGACTTTAAACAACTACCCGTGAGTAGAACGGAAAATTGGATCTTTAAACATCTTAATTCGGCACCGAAACGGGAAGGTTTCAAACAGGAAGTCCGCCTTCCTCTTTTGTAAATAGATTGAGCAAAGACGCTGTAAGCTAAAGTCTTGGAGAGCCTTTTGTAAAGGATTAAATTTCCATCGGTTAAAATTATTAAACCCCCCTTGGAAGCAGGAGAAGAGGGGGGAAATTATAGATCGCCTAAACCTGCAGGAGAGAGAGTGAAGAAAGACAAACTACCACCGTTTTGAACCTGGGAACGGGCTGTCAGTAAGATTGACGTTTTGGGAAAGTTCATTGACTGTGAATAAAACGTACGTTGACAGATAGTTAAATAAGAGAACTATATTGTTTCCATTGTTTCCTTTTGCACTTAAAAAGGAGCAAAAGTAACTGAAAGATTGAAACTAACTTTGTTGCTGGATCTGCGTTTAAAAGGACGGATACAAATAGAAATTGTTTCCTCTAGAGGGAGCTTTTGAAACTGTTGCAGGAGTGGAGCTGGGGAATTTTCCAGCTGCAGAGATAAAAGACCGTGAGAATCAGAGATTGACCTTGGACAAGAATGTCGACAGAAGAAGCCTTAGTGATTGCATTTTGCAAGATAAGTGCTTTATTGGAACAGCTTCATGAGAAGATGGATGTGATGACTATTAAAATTGATAATTTGGGACAAAAAATGACTGATTTGGGACAAGAAGTGAATATCTATACAGAAACTACTCAGGAATCGATTCAGGAATCTACTTTGACATGGCAAGTTGTGGAGAAGACGAGGGAGAAAGTTGTTGTAGAACCTCAAGTAATACAAGTGGAGAGAGCCCCAATCTTACAGAGACAATTTGATGAATATAAGCTGTTGTCTTCTACGACTGAATTTAGAGAAAGCCAGTTGAAACACGTCCTGAAATATCTTTTGGACTCTAGTTTTGACTATGGAGAATGGGCTGACCTGTCGAGAAGGAATAAAGACATTGTTAGGTTGGAGCTTCCCCGAGATCTACTCCTCAGTGTCAAAGGAAGGAAATTAAGAATAAGATCAGCGGAAGATAAAGTAAAGTGTATGTATAAATATGAAGAAGATCTGCAGAAGGGACATGGAAAAGAGTTAAGAGCCTCGGACAGAAGATCACCAGGTTGATGGACCATATGGAACTGATAGAAAGGACTGGCAGAATCCGAGACCAGGGAGAAGAGACGGTGGAAGAAGATTGGGGAAAAGTTTAAATTTTATTTATAGAAACATTGTAAAATTAATGAGTGTTAGAAAAATGTTGGAATGAAATTACATGGCTTTAGTAGAAATGTTATAAGGAGTTAAGTACAAATAAGTTTCAGGGTATTAATGGTAAGATAATGGTAAGATAAGATAATGGTAAGATAAAAACATCGCGGTTTATTGCCAAACCACGATGTTTGGCTGGTGATAAATCACAATGTTGAAAATCCAACATCGCCCACCCTACTGTGGGGGAGGTCTCTACTAAAAAAAAGGAAAAAGGTGGTTGCTCTTTTCTATTAATTAGAGATTTCCCTTTAAATCTATTTGGAAGCTGCGGCTCATGCAGAACATCATGGCACTGTTGACAGCTAACAAGGAGAAGCATGCACATGTTTAACTAGTCTTCAGCCACTGCCCTGGTCACCAGTCAGTTTCTGGGTCAAATTCAACATGTTGCTTTAAACTTTAAAGACCTGGGTGGTGTGAAGGTGTCAGATAGCACCTCTATGTTAGCCTGTCAAGATGAAGGTCCTGCTCAAGTTATCATCATTAAGGGAACTTAAGACATCAACAGGGTCAAGCCCTTCTTAGGAGTAGCCTTAAAAATTCAAAACAAGCAAACATGAGAAGTTGTCATTTGATATTGGTCATTCACAAAGCTGTGCAAGGCCCACCTACCTAAATACAACTCTGGCAAATGAAAGCTGGTCTATTTTTTTTGCCTGTTGCACATCTAGAAGTCAAATGACATAACTACCGTATATTTTCAAATAACTCTGCAACTAAGATGACTGTTGCACTATTGTATCAAGGTTGTCCGTGATTTTTGTCTTTTGCTACTGTTGAAGAAATTAATAAATAATACATTTTTTAAAAAAAGAGATGTGGTTAAATATATTCTTAAAAATATTAAGGAATCCAAGAAAAGATCTGTAGGATCAGACCAAAGCCTTACCTAGCCAAACATCTTGTTCCCCACAGTAGCAAGCCAGATGCTCCTGGGAAGCAGGACAAAATGCTGTTTCCCCCCTGAAATTTATATTCAGAGACCTCCAGTCCTTGAAGTAGTATATAGCCATCATAACTAGTAGCCTCAACCTCCATGAATTTCTCTATTTCCCCTGGCTATCACTACATCTTCTGGTAGCAAACTCCACAGTTTAACTCTGCACCATGTGAAGACGTATTTCCTTTTGTCTGTCTGAATCTCAAAAAAAAATATCAGTTTCACTGGATGGCACTAGGTTCTAGTATTAAGACAGGAAGAAAAACATATCTAGTCACTTTTTTTATACCACTCATAATTTTATAAAGCTCTATCTTTAACTAGGATTTAGTGCAGGGTCACCTCACCACTGGCCAGTTCCATGATAAATTGTTCTAGGTTTGGGCACTGTCATTTATGTTATCTAGAAATTTATTTATCTTGACTGAAACATGCACTTACTAAGTATATATGAAGGAGACTAAAGCCACAGATTACTACCATGCTTTCGCTTTTGAATGCCAATTATCGACTGGAACATTTTGGTAAAGGTAAAGGTACTTTTTGGACCCCATATTGTCACTCACAGCAATTCTGTAGAGGAGTCTGTCCTGAAATATCGCCTCCAGTATGCTTTTTCTATACAGTTTATATGCAAAGACCACCATTATGCTCACTACAGGCAACCCCCTATTTACGTGGGGGTTACGTTCCAAGGCATTGTGCATGGCAGTGAAATCATGTATATTTGAAACACCACTGGAAAAACCTGCAAACACCCCATTCCGCCCCTTCCCTGTCACTTCTGGGTTTGGCGTGATGCACATATGCACAGTTGCACACATACTGAACACACATAAATGGGAGGTTGGTTCTTTCACAGGCAGAGACATAGGGGAAGTGTTCTAATGGCAAGTTCACTCTCTAGCTCCCTGTCATTTTTTCCCTATTATGTGCACATTAGTTGTTCCAATACTTCTGGTACTCTAATGATTGTGATCCCATTTTCCTGGGACTGTTTTCCAACTGGACAAGGGCAACAACAGCTGTGATGGGGATAAATGGCCAGTTTATGCCATATGTATTTTTAGTTGCCAGCATCATCTTTTTAGGCACCCAGGAAAACAGGTGTCTGGGGGTTTTCCAGCCCTGTTCACTGCCGTTTTAATGGGAAGTGCATTAAAGTGGCAACGCCTTTGGACTTACTGCTTTTGTGACCACAGGCCGTCAGAATATGTGTATTAAGGTATGTTAAAATGCATTAATAAAGTTACTTTTCCTATCAGAACTCAGCATCAAATTTCTACAGCTTAAGAGCATCACAGGGCTTATCCAAATGTTGTCATTTTAAGAATACACTCAAGATTTAGTGAGTACTTAAAAATGTTACAGGTTAACATTGTAAACAGATGTTTCGTAGAATCATAGAATTGTAGACCACAAACTGTAGACCACAAGGGTCATGTACTCCAACCCCCTGCAATTCAGGAATCTTTTGCTCAATGTGGGGCTTGCTCAAACCCATAATTCTGAGATTAAGAATCTCATGCTCTACCGACTGAGCTATCCCAGCAGTTTGAAAATATACATAGTATATAAGTACCCTTATCAGAGAGCAGGGATGGCTGCAACTTCCTTTTGAGGGTACACCTGGTGGCAAACCCAGACCTGCTGCTGTGTAATGTGTAAAGCAAGCAATCTCTTCTTCCAAAGCCTAGAACTGAACTTCCCTTATTTTATTAATTTGAATTAAACATTCTCCTTACTGAAAGTCTGTTATCATTTCCAAATTAAGTAAACATCCCTCAGCACTACCAGTGTATAAGATGAGCCACAATTTCAAACCTAATTTTTTGGTAAAAAACCGTAGCCTTATACACAGAAAAATACGGTACTTCCAAAGAAATATACTTATGATTTTACAGTGCATCACTAGCCTGCAAGGTTTATATGAGAATTATCTGAGATATTAACGTGTTTAAAAACTCAAAAGTAGAATTCGCAGAATTGCAAAATGGTTTCGTATTTTATTCAAAGCTGTGCAAAGTGTTTAGCATATCCTGAAAAGCAGTCTTATTATATTTGTATCCCAGCCTTCCTATAAGAACTCAGGGTAACATGGACACTAAGCAACATTAAATCTTGAATATGAGAATCTACAATATAGATCAAGCTATAATTCTTTGCTTCCCCATGGTGCCATAACTACACTCACAACCATGTTACAACCATGATCCCCCTATTTTCTATCTTTGACTAGAAGTGGCACACCTCTCAATACAGGCTTCAATGAGCCAATGTGTTAGCCAGCAGGTTGGTGTTTTGAGAGCCTATCCAGGGACGGCTGTGGGCAGTATTGGAGAAGGTTGGACTAGATGACCCTTGGGATCCCTTCCAACTGTACAATTCTGTGATTCTATGTTCATGTGCTACTTTCACCACTCCCGTCTCCCCCTCAATTTAATAGAACACTTTCCGATTTTATCAAATCACAGTTTGTCAGTTCAGACAGCAAACTGGTATGATCAAACCAGTAAGCATCCTACTTTTATTAAGTGAAGTGCTCAAGGGGAGGAAGTGGCAAACTAAGCGTGCCACTAAGCAAACTAGTAAAAGATAGAAGGATGTAAAGCACGTTTGTTAATTATTTCAGTTACAATTTGCTTTGCTGACCACTAAGTTCTTATTAACAGGCTTCCAAGATTATCTTCAACAAAGCTAATGAAAACCATTTTGCCATCAGATACACCTTGTATATTTATTTTAATGATACCATTAATCATTCGCCTGAACCAGTTTTGTGCAATGGGCACTGTTGACACTGTTTTGCAGTGGTTCCAGTCCTATCCCTGGGGTCAGTTTCAAATGACAGCATTGGATTATTATCTCAACCCCGTGTAAGCAGTGTTAGAATCTGGGATCGAAAAACTATTCACCACATGGTTCCTGGTTCCTTGGCACAAAAACAGAATGGCTAGTCAGCTCCCCACCCCAAATGCAGCAGCACTTTCTATTTATTTTTTTCAAAATTCATGAATACACAATTCACATCAGTGACACATTGTTAATAGCAATTATTGGACACCACAAATATAAATGGGGCTCAGCCCCTGAAGTTTTGGCCAAAACAATAGTCATTTGAAAAATTTATATTTATGAATACCAGCATGTATATAAATTTTTTATGTGTATGTGTTATGTAAAGTACTGTGATAGATTCGTGAAGGGGCTGGGAGATTCGTGAAGGGGCTCTCTCAATGTTCAGAGAGCCCCCCGTGCAATGTCAGGACATCACACGACATTGCGTGTGGGTGCCCTCAATCTTCTGACTGCGTGTGGGTGCCTCTGATGTAAAGCCATTGGAGCTGTCATTAGGAGATTTGGGGAGAAGCGTAATCAGTACATTAATGCAGTCAACTCTATTTCTCTGTAATATTTGACTCAGAAGAGGCCACATTAGCCCTGAACCAGTGCCTGGACTCTGTGATGGGCTGGAAGAATGCCAACAAACTGACACTAAATTCCAACAAGACAAAAGCACTGTGGTTGGGTAGGTCACAAGTCCAGAAAATTGGTCATTTGTCTGCTGCGGTTGCACTCCCCATGAAGGAGCACATTCCTAGTCTGGGGGTTGGATCCATCTCTGATGACTTCATGATCTATGGGTTTCTTTACCAGCTCTGGCCATTTCTAGGCCAGGATAGCCTGAGAACTGCCACCCATGTACTGGTCCTCCAGAACCATCAAATTGTAGAGTTGGAAGGGATCTTGAGGATCATGTAGTCCAACCTTGTGCAATGCAGTATTATATAGCTGTCCCATATGGGGATCAAACCTGTGACCTTGGTTTTATCAGCATCATGTTCTAACCAACTGAACTATCCAATGGTCACCAATGGATTACTATCATGCGTTGCTACCCTTGAGGTTGACCTAGAAAAGCTGCAGCTAGTGTAGAATGAGGCAGCTCAACTGCTCTGAGGGGCAGAATTCTGAGGTTGAAAGAAGAAGAAGAGGAGGAGTTTGGATTTGATATCCCGCTTTATCACTACCTGAAGGAGTCTCAAAGCGGCTAACATTCTCCTTTCCCTTCCTCCCCCACAACAAACACTCTGTCAGGTGAGTGAGGCTGAGAGACTTCAGAGAAGTGTGACTAGCCCAAGGTCACCCAGCAGCTGCATGTGGAGGAGCAGAGACGCAACCCGGTTCACCAGATTACAAGTTTTCCGCTCTTAACCACTACACCATACTGCACCAATTGCAGTGGCTGCTGATTAGCTACTGGGCCAAGTTCAAGATGCACAAAGCCCTATAAAGATTGGGGCCAGGGTTCCGAAAAGATAATCAAATCCTTTACATGCCCAACCAATCACTGCACACTGCAGGAGAAGGCATCCTGTTCACAACATCTTACCAGGAGAGCTATTCCACAGCATGTTGAAATTGAGCCTTTATTATGACAGCAGCTACCTCCTTCCTGTTATGCATGAGACAGGTGACATCTCGGTGATCTCTCTGATGTCTGTTGAAGACTTTCCTCTTTCAGTAAGCCCTTTAAGTGGAGATTCCACCTCCCCACTCCACCCCGTCCCAGTTACTACCTGTACTGAATGGAAATGGTCTTTACATATGTAAATGTTTTTATATATGTAAATGTTTTATACATTTGTTGCATTGTGAAATTCCTTTGAGATGCTTTATAGTGATTCACAGATGAAATAAATAATGTAAGAGCTCCCTGTTATTATAAATCTTAAATCAATGTTCATCGTAATGATAGACCTTAAAAGGTGACACGTCATGCTAGACTACAGTTGAGTAACATTAACAAGCCAGGACAAACATTGAGTTCACACTCTCCACCCTTCTCTCCTTCTCCTGTATAGCCAGGAATAAGAGTCCATATGTTTAAATCATGGTATGCAGTTTCATTCGTACCCAGTGTTTGAAACTCCCATTATTCCAGGCGCATTTTGCGACAGAGAATTTCATTAGTACAAGCAGTTTCTGAGCTCCGGCAGCTTAACACCCCTACCCACCCTGCTTATACAACAGGTAGTTATCAGTGTCCCTGTATTTAACCTGTGCAAAGAAGACATTGCAGCTGTTGCTGCATATTGATTGGTGCTTTCGGCTAATGTGGGGAAATTCTTATTATGTAACATAATGATGGGGTATGTGGTACTATTGACAGGGACACTGTAAGAATAGGCACTGGTCTTGCTACTTTAATTTTTGTTTCTGCAGCTACTTTTGTGCTGCTGACATAGGTGCAATCCTTCAGAAACATTTCCAGTAGTAATATGGCCATCTTTTACAGACCACAGGATATCCCACTGAGCACTTTTTTCTATTTTATAATAATAATAATTTTATTATTTGTACCCCACCCCTCCAACCAGGCCATTCCAAGTCAAGTCAATTTGCCAGTGAGATTACACATTAGTACAGTTTCATCCACCTGAAGAGCCGCAGACTTCTGTGACATAATGCCCTAGTCCAGAATGTTATAGAATCTGCGAGTGTCATGAAGAGGAAAAACCATTGCAGCTTTGAGCAAAAAACTGAACTTAATTTTTACATAATCTAATCAGCTCCAATTCCAATAAAGAAATGTATGAGGTATGCATGTGTTACAAAATAAGTTTCCTATCTGTCCATATTTCATGGGCACCAGCAGTGCTATTATCTATATAGAACAGAAGTCTGCAATTTTAACACTATTTGTTTCCTCACGTAGCAAAGTATTTCTAGCACCTCCTCATTTTTTCCTTTTTTGAACACGGTTTTTTTGGGAAGGATATGATAAAATTATGCCTGTTTCCATTTGAACAATACTTATAATTCTGGAATAAAGCACACTATCTATTTGACATCTAGCAGCTTTGTTGTATAATTGTTCTATCACCTACTGCCGATAGTAATTATTCAGACAGCCCAAATAGTTCTTCTGCTCTTGAGTTCATTTTCCTGACAATTAACCCTAATTTAAATCTGAAGTATAGACTTTTAAAATCTCTAAATCGTGTCTCCTGAACCAGAAATGGAGAATGGCAGTGTACCCAATGACTTCTAAGGTGTACTCTAGTAGTAAATATGACTTCTGACACAATTTAAAATTAAACAGGACAAATCTCAGTTTTAAACTCTGCACTCAAGTCTCTGTGTGTGCATTGACACTTTCCATCCTATAAGTCAAGGCACTAGAATTGTGAGTTGACAAAACCCACCTATACTGTCACATCCAATGCTATTATCTCCACTCCGGACCGGAAAAAAGAATTTTACACAGATGAGTAGTTATATATGTTCAAGCAATAACCTCTTTCCACACCTAGATACTGCATCAATACACTTTGATGAGCTGCAGAATCTCTAAGCATTTTTTTCCAAACCTCAGTGCCTAAAATTAGATTCCCAAAAATAACTTACTGCCTTTGCCGACATGCCTAATAAACTTCAGCGACTAACTATGTATCAGAACTGGTGCGCGCCAAAAGCCTGACCTAGCAAGACAAATGTGTAGTAGTACACAAGCTTCAGCTTAGGTGCTTGTAAAACTAAATTCCTCCAAACTTTTGACAGCACCGAATCTCAAACTTGGAAAAGGCAAGAACAGCAGAACCAATGAGAGAGCAGTTGGCAAGGCTGTCATGAGAGAGAGAGAGAGAGAGAGAGAGAGAAATCCTCTTAAGTACTTGACTTCAGAGGAACTCTTGTACTGTCTCAAGAGTAGAACTGCCGGATTCACTTCTTGGTGCACAAAACACGCACGCCGCAGGAATGCTATTTCTACTTCTACAGCCTCCTTGCCACCTTTAGATTTAAAAGAGCAGCAACACTTGGCTGAGAGAGGACAACTCTCCGCTTTGATTTCTGCTCGCTCACGCACTTCCTCCTGCCCCACAGCTCCAAACGCTGTCTGCCAAGTCACTCGCCACCCAAATCTCTCCATGCTCCTGAATCCACTCAGCCCTTCATTTCTAGGGAGGAAAAAAAATTACACCACTGGGGCTTATGCTATAATAATAATAATAATAATAATAATAATTTATTATTTGTACCCCGCCCATCTGGCTGGGTTTCCCCAGCCACTCTGGGCGGCTTCCAACAAAACGTTTAAATACAATAACCTATTAAACATTAAAAGCTTCCATAAACAGGGTTGCCTTCAGATGTCTTCTAAAAGTTTGGTAGTTGTTTTTCTCTTTGACATCTGGTGGGAAGGCCGCCTGGGAGGTCTTGCCCTGGCACCCTGCGCAAGACCCACCTCGCCACCTATGAACAACCACGAAACACCCCCGACTAAGTGCAAGGTGCATTGATTTTCCTCGGTGCCGACAAGACATTCCCGGAGAGAAACAGGCGTCGTAACCACAGCAGCCCCTTTTGGCTCCCACCTCTTGGGAAAATCTAATAATAATAATAATTTTTTATTTATAAATTTAAAATCTAAGCACCTAAATTTGACTCCTGCCGCCCCCAATGCATGGGCTCGAGTGCGCGTGAGCCTGCTTGCGCGGGAAACAAAACACTCTGCACGTGCCCAGAGGCACTCCGCTTTTCTTTCCGAGCCCGCCGCGGTGCACTCTGTACATGCTCGCGGGCACGCCTGCCTGTCCTTCCAGCCCCGCCCCCGCTCGCCCCCGCCTCACCTGAGGCCCCGCCGCGCTTCTGCTGCCGGCGGTGGTCGCTCTCGTAGAAGCCGAGCGTCTCGGCGGCGCGCTGCTGCTGCTGCTGCTGCTGCCCGGGGCCGGGCGACGGCGGGCTGGAGGCGGGCGGCGCGGACCGAGCCGGGGACGGCTGAGGGGAGCGGCACTCGCCGCCCGTGAAGCTGCTCCGCCGCTGCTGCTGCCCGGAGCCCGGCTGCAGCAGGGAGAGCTCCGGGGGGCCGCCGCCGCCACCGCCGCCCCCCCCGCCGCCCGCCTTCCCCGCTCCCGGCGGAGGCGGCATCGGCGACGCCCGCCATCTTCACGCGAGCGGCAGCCACAAACTCCGCTCCGCGCGGCGGAGGCGGCGGCTGCTGCTGCTGAGGGAAACCTCCGCTGGCCCGCCGGAGCACGTCATCGCCGCGCGACAAGGAGCGCACCAGACGGGCCCACCTCTCCAGCGCGCGCGAGCGGCGAGCGGTCCTGGCGGCCATCTTGACGGAGGCAGGAGGGGCGTTGCCATAGCAACCGCCCCCGCGCGCGGCCTGCTGCTTCTCCTCCTCCTCCTAACTCTCGCTCACAGCGACGACACGGAGGGCGGGCGGGAGCGAAAGGAAGCGGGCCCAGCCTCCTCTGGCAGAGTTTCAGCCCGAATAACAACACATACACACAGTGGAAACAAAAATAAAAATAAAATAAAACAATCCCCCGACGTGCTCGTATTATATCGTTCGCCAGCCTCTGCGGAACGAAATAAAGCACCTTTAAACTCGTGCAATTGGAGGCACCGTTAGCTGAGAGCCCCAAAGCCGCGAGGACTTTATTCCCTAAACGGAAAATAAGCTGGGAAAGTTTCTTCTCCTTCCCCACCCGCTACTCCTGCGCTTCTCCGGTGGGGCTGCTGCCTGGGCGCTTCCCTCTTTGAACCGCGCTTAGGATGGGGCTGCGCGCAAACGAAGCTCAGGTTTCCCATCTGGGATGCGCAGCTCGGGGCGCCCCCTGCGAATCCCACCTGAGCAGCTGCAAAGGACAAAGCTGTGAAAGTTTGCTTCGTTTTGTTTAAGAGAGCATTGAAGGAAGCAGGAATGTAGGGACTTGCATTTGAAGTTTTATTTTTATTTTTTCTCCACCCTCGCGTTTCTGATAGCGCACAACTGCCTGCTCCAAGAATAAACACTCCTTGCTCTCAGCTAGTAAAGCTTAAAACTACAATCCTATAAAGGGCCCTATTAATACACTGGGATTTGTTTCCAAGTAAACAAGCAGAGGCTAGGAATGTAATTTTCTTCTAGATTTCTGGAAACGAGAGGTGAAAAACCATTAGCCATGAGTGTAGCCAGGAACCTTAGTTTGCTATATATTTTTATTTATTTTTATTGATTTGGCTATACCTATGTCTTTAGATCAGTGCTTTCGTTTAAACTTATTCTCGATTAAGCCTCTCTCCTTTTTCTTTCTCTACTCATAGAGGCCTCCTCTTTTTCATCTCTGCACCACCATGGACCAACATTAACTCCTCCATCTCTATTTCTCTCTGCACTTCCATTTCTTAAGCTATGCCCTCTTTTTGAGACAGGTTTCCCTGCACTCCTCCTGAGCAGAAGCTCTGCAGGATCAGACCAAAGGTGGCAGACACACCATTTCTTCCAAAGCATTGTGAGACCTGTTGTTTCCCACTCAGAGATCTACAATTCTCACCACCCCATAACAAGCTACATTTCCTGGGAATCTCCAGGGGCGGGAATAATTTGCTTTAAAAGTAGGGTGGTTGGTAGCCAAATGTCTCTGCAATAATTCTCTCTCTGGTGATGGCCCCAGTATGCAGTGGCATAATACTGGCTTGGAATACAATACTTTTTTATATAGAACTGACAGTTAACCTGGTAGGTTCTGCTAAGCTGCTTAATAAATCCATCCTTCATGGATTTGTCCACCCCGCTCTGTAAACTAACTAGAGATGGGCAACAAATTCAATTTAGTTCGCATTTAAAGGTGAATCTAATAAATTTGCACTTTCCATAACAGTATGCAAACTGAAACACAGCCAAACTTGGAAAGTTGCACTTATTTGAATTTTGCGGTGCAGGTTTCTAACCAATGCTTGCAAAAATACATACATTAGGGGAATGTGTGCCTAAAAAGAAATAAATTTGTGAAAGTAACAGATAAAGTGCATTATATTAGGGATATCTGCTTGCATGGATGTGTGCATTGTTCAAAACCACGTTAAGCTGTGTTTCATGAGGATCGTTTTTTAAAGTGCACATGGCTGCAGAAATGTGGAAAACTGAATTTAAGACTGGGAATATAAGAAACGGAGAGAACCAAAAGTGACAGTTCCTTCCATTTCTAGCAGTGACCATCCCTGCATCATGTGACAGTAAAGTCCTTTCATTAATTATGTGTTGTGTGCAAAGTAGTACTTTCTTTTGTCTGTCCTAAATCCTGATTATACTGCCAATCAGGTGTAGCGTGGGACTGTGATTTCTAGTATTCTCTCTATCCACTTTTCCCACACCCATGGATCGTTTTATAAACTTCTGTACGTCATCTTCATTATCATCATAACCCTCACAACCCCAGTCACCTTTTCCCCCTAAATAAAATGCTTTTGCCTTTTGTTATCTACCAAACCCTTCTTATTCTGCCTGCAGCTTTTCAGCAGCTTTTCTAATGCTGCCATATCCTTTTTGAGATTTAACAGCTAAAACCTACACCATCTGGCTGCATCACAATATTTGCAGTTTTAGCTGCAGTCCTTTCCCTAATAAGTTCCAACATGAAATTTGCCTTATTCACTGCTCCAGCATGGTAAGCCAATGCTGTCAGTAAATTATGCAATATCTACTTTAATTTCCATAGCCCAATCAGGCCCGATCTGTGAATGTGGAAACACTTTTCCATGAATCTCATTATGTCATCTTGTTATCCATTCACACAGTTTGGGGAGTTCCTTTTGGAGCTCTTCAGCCTGATTGGAGTCTTCTGCACTCTTTGTTCACCTTGATTCCAGAGAAGGAATGAATAAGTCCTTTGCCATCTCTCTCTCTCTGCATTTTCTCTACACAACAGATCACAGTTACCCACTATTTTTCTTTCTGCCATTCTCTTTACAGTGCTCTATTTGCTCCATCACCACACCTCACTTTATTTATCCTCCTATAGCAACTCACACTAAGGGAGTCAGATTTGTGGGAGGGAAGCTTGTGCAATACAGCTGGCTGCAACAAGCTGGATAAATTGGCATCAACTGGTTGCAACAAGCTGGATAAATTGGCACCAACTTTATAGCATGCCTCTGACTACAGAGAGGAGGAGCAATAGAGAACATACTGTTTGTTGTTGTTGTTTTATTATTATTATTAATTATTACTACTTCTATCACTATTACTATTTGCTTTTTAAAAGCATTCTTACCCCAGTTTTCAGTCAAAAAGGATTCCCACAGTGCCTTACAGAATGAGGAAAAACAAGACAGTCTTTTCTCCCAGGTTTACAATCTATAAGAGGGAAAAGGCACACGTTTTAAAATTCAAAGTTATTTATAAAGCATCAGAAGTGTGCAAGGTGTTTTGTACAAGATGACAGGTTCGTGTACAGAAAAGTTTCCAAGTTGCAACTTAACTCCCTTCCCTATATTCCCCAGTTATCTTGATAGTGCTTCTTTACAACACTGATAGTATATATAACAATTAATTTCTTATTTAGACCATTCTTACTATAGGCTTTTTTGGGACGCGGGTGGCACTGTGGGTTAAACCACAGAGCCTAGGACTTGCCGATCAGAAGGTCGGCGGTTTGAATCCCCGCGACGGGGTGAGCTCCCATTGCTTGGTCCCTGCTCCTGCCAACCTAGCAGTTCGAAAGCATGTCAAAGTGCAAGTAGATAAATAGGTACTGCTCTGGCGGGAAGGTAAGCGGCATTTTCGTGCGCTGCTCTGGTTCGCCAGAACTCTGGTTCGCTTAGTCATGCTGGCCACATGACCCGGAAGCTGTATGCTGGCTCCCTCGGCCAATAAGGCAAGATGAGCGCCGCAACCCCAGAGTTGGCCACGACTGGACCTAATGGTCAGGGGTCCCTTTATCTTTTTTGCTATAGGCTTTGGTGACTAGAAACGTTCCAGTGCAGCCACCATCTTTTCCTTCAGGGCTTTGTTACATTGCCTCCATATTAGGTTGCATCAAGGATAGCCAACATGGTGCCCTTCAGAAGTGTTTGGCATCCAACTTAAGAGCACTGTCTCCGATTTAGTAGCAACCCCCACCATTTATTTCTATAGAAGAATATTGCTGAAACATTGCAGCAAGTGGAACACGGAGAATGCACGTGCAGAGCAGAGAGATTTAGGGGTGATTTTGCAATGTGTTTGGGGACATGCGACATTCTTGTGAAACTGAAGAGATGGCTATCTCTCTAGGCTTTTGCACAGGTTGATGAAGAAAAGAGATTGCTTAATGGGCGCTGTTGGTCAAGTAACATTCCTGGAACAACATGGCACGCAAGTCGCATGCCTCCTGTTACGGTGACAGTTGAGACCTGCTTGCAAGTTGGGAAAAGTCAAAGCTCAGATTGCAGAGAGAGCTTCCTGACCGTCTAAGGCAGCGCAGTTCAAAATGCAGCTCTCAGGGCCTTTTTTTTGGCAACCCTCAGCAGTATTTGACGCCCTCACACTGCCTTCCCAAAGCCAGGAAACCAAGGAGCTGGGCTTCAGGAAGGAGGTGGGACAGGGTCCTGGAATCCTCCAACCTCTTCCCAAAGCCTAGTTAGCACTTCCCCAGCTTTGGGGAGAAGGACCCTGCCAGAGCCCTGTGCCTCCATCCCAAAGCCCAGCTCCTCACTTATCTTGTAGCCTTATGAGGCTTTGCCCTCGGGTGGGAAAAATATTGCGCCCGGGAAAGGGAGATGGGAGTCAACAGACACTCAAGGAATAGTTTTGGAGAAAAAGCTTTATTTCTACCATCCATGAACTGGTAGAAGGAGCAAGTGTGATAACTCACAAAAAGCATGCACGGGTTCATAGTCATATGCACAGAGTATATATTCCCCTTCTAGTTTCCTCCCCTTTCTCCTCCCTCAGGAGTCCTGCCCCATGAGTTCCTCTGAGCATGAACAGAAAGCTGTCTTGGGACTATTAGACTCTTGGCACCCTTCCCAGGAAAGGGGAGTGAGAGCCAAGGGGTCGAGGAGCCCTGGTGGTTCAGCAGGTCCAAGATGTTGCAACCGAATGAGATAAGATCCAGTTCTCAGGCCTGCTCTGACAGAGTCTATTCATTAGCTTTTTGAAGCCTTCTCGTGCTGATAAAAGTAACGGTTTTGCCTTGCAACAGCAGAGCAAATGAGCAGATGCTTAGCTGCTGAGAAAATGATTTTGAAAAGCTTTGA